ATAATAGTGAGCAACACACATACTACATGTACTGTATGTATGTGTTGCTCACTATTATTTTTTATTAGCCTTACAAACTTAGTTTCAGTGATGCCATATTGTTCTTTCATTTGGCCGGAATAGCAAGCTGCTCTCGATCATCTGTACACGTGCCATTTAATTTGTGTATTACACAAATCTTTCCACGAAACAGACAGTTTTAAGTGCAAAAGGTGCGAAAGTGCAGAATCACTCCAGCATCCCCTTAAGCTCCGAAACTTAATTTCAATGATACCATGCTGTTCTTTCACTTAATCTGAATAGTGGGACACTGTCGGTCTGTACACAAAGGCCACATAATTTGTATATTACACAAATGGTTTCACGAATTGACGGTTCTAGGAACAAAGGGTGCCAAAAGTGCAGCATCACTCCAGCACCCCCTTAAGGGGTTATTCCGCTTTACTGACCCAAAAACTATGCTCATCTTTATCGATTTTTTTCACAGTAGACAGACTATACAATGAAATAAATCTTTTTGGGATTTGTTAGGGCACTCTTAAATGACATAAACTTACCCTGAAATCGTGTAATCGTGGGACAACATGGCACTTCGAAGAACCGTATGAGAGTTTTTGAAATTTTACCATACATTTTACTAGTAATTATATTGTTAGCGTACATTCGATTAGTAAAATGTATGGTGAAATTGCAAAAGACTCTCCTAAAATTCTTCAAAATGCCGCGTGGTCCCACGATTACGTGAATCGCAGGATAAATTTTAGGGGAAAATTCTCTCCGCGTAGAGCCGTTAGTCGCCAATGGATATTCACGGTACATCGAGCTCGGAAAATAGATGCAGACATTAGGCAAATATTCCTTCCGCGCAAATAACTCTCGGGCGGAAGCGTTAACCGTCGAGCGATCGATCGATCGTAATCCCGCGATTACGCGTAAGATCACGTATGCCCAGATTTGGGTTCAAGTACACGTCCCGGTTGGTCATTCGCAGCCGGCAGGCTATTGTTCTACAGGCGCAACGCGCAGAATCAGGAATCCAAGCCGTGCATCGCGCGCCATTCACAAAGTTGGACGGCGCTACGAGAGAAATGGAGGTCAAGTACTCGAAAACGTGGCCGCGATTGTAACGCCTCGGAATAAGAGAAATTTCCTCGCCTGAGTTTACGCGACGGCGAGCATACGCGGCTACCAAGCAGAAATTATAGAGGGGAATAGAAAAAGAAACAGGCGCGAAAATATATTGTGTAAATTTCCCTTCGATATTTCTCAACGCCGGAACACGGCTGCTAGGCATTTTCTCCTTATTTCTCGGACGTTACCGCGTTTCTCGATGAATCTCACGTTGCAGTTCCAAGGACAGATAACGCATTTGATGTGTCTTAATCACGAAACGCGTATGGGCCTGAGTGAAATGGCTGTCTTGCATTCTTAAGACACTGTTTTAGGCCTTTGTCTTCAAGTGACGCACGATAACCGTTTTGTCTTAAGAGTACAAGAGTCACTCTGCTCAGGCCGTAAAGCCTTGGGGAGATAGGAATTAAGCCGAAAAATTCTAGAGGCGTTGAGTTCCTTTATTCCTTCCGAATTACAGACAGTGACTAGAGTCCGCGTTTGATAGGAATTAAATCGAATAAGTCCAGAGGCGCTGAGTCTCTTTATTTCTTCCGAATTGGAGTGATTTAACGTCTTGATAAATCGGGCACCCGGACGAGATGAATATTCAACAAAAGAGGAAACCGAGAGCGTCCCAGAGACCTTTGAGAACGAATATCGCGCCGTGAATTTCGACAACCGCGGTTTATCGCGCACCCCGTCCAGCCTTATGTGGCGATCGCGGAGCCGCGATATCTGTGTGTATCGCGCGCGTCCGGTTCCGCTATTTTTTCCCGATGAAAACCACAGGCGTGCAAAAATGATCGCCCCGCGCGAAGTGTGGAACACGTGCGCGCGCATGAAAAGCAGGAAAAGAAAAGTCGGAACAAACGAAGAGGAAGAGGGACGGCAGGGAGGTGAGAGGCCCGCGTTTCTTCCGTCAGGCGCGAACGCGACTTCGACTCGCGGCGGTTCTGTTAGAAAGCGAGACCGACGTACGCGCGCATCGATGCATCGGGCAACCGGTGCCGTACCGGTCAGCTTTCTTCCGCTTGCGTGTCGCGTAGGCGGTGATTTTGTTATTTCGTTGCGACGGGACAAAGAGAGAAATGCGATAGCGATAAGAGGCGCGCTGATGGGTCCGCGGACTTTGCGAGGAAAATGAATCAGCGCGATCGGGTGATGATCTCACGGAGAACTTAAACGTTCTAAGAATCGAATAGAGATCTGAAAGCCGTTTATACGAGTAGCCGGTTCTTCAGCGATGACGATAATAATGCAAAAGGTTACGTTCTTGAAATTTAATTATAGTGTAAAAAACCATTGAATATTTATTTAAATATACTTAATGAGGAATAAAATATAAGAAATTTTAATTCAGTGCGGGGAGGGAGATTATTGCAATGAATGCTAAGTATAGCATTTAAAATAATTTATCAAAAATCGTTAAGCGATTTTATAACACGTGAACTTACTGACGATAATGATTCCGCTTAACGAAAAGCCTGCGTTATACGTCCGGTAGTAACGGCGCGCAGAACAGCTTGGGAAAAATATAGTATATGGATTCACTTAGTAATTTAATTGGCTACCTTCGCCTGTGCCAGGTCCTAAATGGCTTTTGCGTTTCTAATAAAATATAAGCTTAATCAACTTGCGATAGCTAATCGCGCGAGGCACTTTTCTGGCACGACGCCGCACGAAGTTTACGCAACGACTGACCTCGCCACAAAAATTATATTTGTATTGGCACATGGATGTTTATTGCTAAACGATTGTAACCGCCTGCGAGTGACACGCGAGTCAAACAAAATTCGTGATTTGCCTAATGAGGTGAAGGCCTTAGTGAACTTCATGCCACTCTTTTTGGATGGAATTGCTCAATTCTTCGTATTTCCTAATTCTTTATACGCTTGAGGTACGAGCATGTCGAGGAGATCTTACATATTTAACTTGAAAAGTAAAAGTAATATGAATTTTAAAGATATAGAAAAATACACGAGGTAAATAAAAGGTACTGTTTTATATGATTTTAAAAAAGAAAAGATACATGTGTTAATTTTATCTGTCTCACAAATATCGCCTCAAATTGTCATAGACTTTAAAGTCGCCGGTCAATTTTTCATCTTTGAAATAATTAATTTAATCTTATCCGCCTCACAAATATCCTCTCGAATTGTCAGACTTTAAATTTTCCAACTTTGACGTGAAATAATTAACTTAATTTTGACAAATATCTTGATATGTCAGAGACTTTAAAGTTAGCGGTCAATTTTTTATCTTTAACGTGAAATAATTAACTTAATTTTATCTGCCTCACAAATATCCTCTCGAATTGTCGTACTTTAAAGTTACCGGTCAATTCTCCATCTTCGACGTGAAATAATTGTTAAAAATTGTGATACTCGACTGGATCACTTGGACTCGGCGACTCTTTCCGATTAACTGGTCAGGCGCTTATTTACCGCAAGTAACCGCAGAGCGTTAAGCGCGCGGCGCATAAGTGCATAAATAATAACACGCAACGCACGTGCGAGGAGCGGACCGGAGGATAAATATTTACGGGAAAGGCGCAAAGTGCTACAACTGGTTTACATCGGGCAATTGTTTCGTTCTTGAACACGAGGCGTAAAGTTTATCCAGGATACAGCCGCGTGTAGAGGCGGGAAGGAAGAAGTCCGTTTCAAGGAGACGTCGCCCAAGGCGTCTTTTTCCAAAACCGGCCGGCCTTGTTCCTTTTTATCTTCAGATTCTACTGATTGAACCGATCGTTAGGTCGATGACCTCGGTCGAAGGTCGTGACGTAATCACATTCACGATTGCCGCGGAAGATAATCGCGTTATCCGTGGATTAATTCAGACACGGGGTTGCTACATCTGATGGGAGATGACAAAAAAGAGAAATCATGAAAAAAAACCGACTTGACTCGAATAAAAAAAGCACGTGTTTTCCGTGCCTTTGCAAAACGCTTGGCTCTCGCCGTCTCTCGCGCGTCCTTCGGGTTTTTGCATCTATCTCGCGAGAAAAAAAAACAACTGGAATAAATTTTCTTATCTCAAAAAAAACTGTGCTTCCCGATCGTTGAGGCTACCGTTATCTCGCGGAGATACCGCACGAGTTCAGAAGCGAGAAAAATTATGAGCACTTCTTTTTTTTCCTTTCATGCAGTGCACGTCGAATTTATTCATTTTATACTTTGACTACAATGGAAATGAGAATCCTCCGAAGTCTTTTCTATTTACTTTAGTCGTTGTGTCCCACGATTTTAAATGCAGATTCTATTCAATATTTAAGAGAACGACAGACGGATTTTTTTCTTCTAACTAACGGCAGTGACTCATCCACACCGTCTTGCCTTCCTCTCCCTCAGGGGCGGCCGTTGCGTGCGGAGTCCTGCTGATAATTCTGGCCGCCGTCCTGGCGGTTCTATTCCCGAACCTCATCAACCTGGTCCTGGATAAGGAGCTCGCGATACAAGAGGGCGGTCGCACATACAAATTCTGGAAGGAGCCACCGGTCGTGCCGCGCATGCAAATTTACATCTACAACGTGACGAACGCCGACGAGTTTCTGAACAGCGGCGAGAAACCGGCGCTGCAAGAGCTGGGTCCGTACGTTTACGAACAGCACTGGGAAAAAGTGGACATCAAGTTCAACGATAATGGTACCGTCACCTACAAGGTCAAGAAGACGTTCTACTTCAGTTCGGTAAGCTCTCGAGTAATTTGTCGCACGGTAGTAATGCCAATTCTGAAAGCACTCAGTCCGCTTGAGCCAAGCCTGATTATTTTTGACTTGCACTTGGGAAGCCATTTCGACAGTGATTTTACAATTCGTATTTCACTTCCGCGCCGAGACTGCAATTTCTCTCCGGCTTATATATTGCTCAACGTGAATATAAATTTAATTACAATCCCGCAGCTCGCCGCAAAATGCGAATATATAACATAACGCAGCTTTCTTTTCGCAATAGTTTTCAAGGTAGTCCGTTAAAATATTATTGTAGCCGATACCGAGACGTCTGTATTTTCATTGTGAGAAACGCCCGATTAACATTCAAGACAATGTGCGTCTTTATCGCGCAGGATGTATCACGTTCGTTGATCGTTCGATTATCGAGAAGCGCGAGAATACGCCGGGTGCTAAGAAGAAAAGCCAGCGAGTCCGCGTTGAATCACAATCGGAGGCGTCACGTCGCCTCCGGGTTATTTAAAATCCGTCATAGACGCGTTCCCCTCCGTCGACTCGACTGCACATGGCTACTCTTGCTCGCGCATCGAAATCACTGCCGCGACTTTCTACATTCGTCAGAGAAACGTTGCCACGGCGTAGTCGAGTGTATTATCGCGACTCGGCGACAAAAAAAAGGGACAATTTGTACACGAATCGTTCTTGCCCCCGGGAGAAAATCTATGGAAGAAAATATTTGTGGATATTATATGCGGAAGCTTTGTATCAACTCACGGTTGATGTGGAATTTTCATTTTCCGTCTGAACTCTCTCTTTGCTCCCGACCGCACTCTATGATTCTATGCATCGTTATTATTATTCGTATATCTTTCGCTTTCTATTAGCTTTACTTTTTACCCAATTCAATTATACGCGCGCACGGTTTATGTTTTTCTGTGCCGCGTCTCACGTTTCATAATACATAATATTTCGATCGCCTTCTATTCCAAAGCAGATTCTCATCGTCCAATTATCCCCCCGCAACTCCCGCTTATTGCGTTCGATCAGCGGACTAGTCTAGATCTTCATTTTTTCTTTCTTCTCTCACGAAAACCGTAGAGCTTGTCATCCGGTTCCGAGGACGATCTGGTGGTCGTACCGAACGTTCCTATGCTATCGGCTACCAGTCAATCGAAACACGCCGCCCGTTTCCTACGACTGGCGATGGCGTCCATCATGGACATCCTGAAGATCAAGCCATTCGTCGAGGTGTCGGTCGGTCAGTTGCTCTGGGGCTACGAGGATCCCCTGCTCAAGCTCGCCAAGGACGTCGTGCCCAAGGAACAAAAGTTGCCGTACGATCAGTTCGGTCTGCTCTACGGCAAAAACTCGACCGGATCGGATCTGTACACGATATTCACGGGCGCTGCTGACATCACCAAATTTGGATTAATGGACAGGTGGAATGGCAAGGACGCTCTCGGTTTCTGGACCACGCAGGAATGCGACTCCGTCATGGGCACCGACGGCAGTATATTCCCGCCTCATATCACGAAGGAGACCGTGCTCAAGGTCTTCGACAAGGACCTCTGCCGGACGTTGCCGCTGGTCTATCAGGTTTGCATTTTTGTTGGTCGTCGTTAATTATCCTGCTGATACGACCGAAGGCGGATAATGTGGCCTACCCGGACTTTGACCTAACAATTTTTCAAGTAAAACACAAAAGCTGGATTCGAACGAGATGTCTCCGCGCTAAATTTAGATTTTAATTTTTAATTTAAAGTTGCAAGTTTTTCCTAATTAATAAAACACCTCTGATTGTTGCAAATAAGAATATTGAGAGCGTCAGAAAGTAATTAAATGATATCTGAATTTTTGGATCGACACTTTTATGTTCAAATGTCAATCTCGATACACGGATTAGTGTAATTGAAATAAAATCGTTGATACGATCACGCTCTTCTTGAAGGATCGTATACGGAAAACAATGGCTGCGTTCGGCAGGAAAAGCTGCTTTGCAACTGTTGTAAAATTCGTGAATCTGCTTGGCGTATGCTCTTAAATTCACTCGAGATTGGGAGAACACACCAATCAGATTCACGAATTTTACAACAGTTGCAAAGCAGCTTTCCCTGCCGAGCGCAGCCATTGTTTTCCGTATACGATCCTCCAAGAAGAGCGTGATTAACATCGACCGATTCTTAAAGAGAATGAAGACTTATTGTCACCAGTAAATAAATAATTAACCAATGCAGGAAAATTAATAAACGACGCAACTGGCAAACTAGAGAAAATTGCGAAAAATGAACGCGAAGGTATTATCAGTAGACCGCTTATTGCGACAAATATTACACGCCTCAGTGGTCGAATTGGTGAGACGCCCGTCTAGAGTGTAGGGTGGTCCAGGTCCATACCCTGACCGAGGTAATATTTCTCGCAGTGAATTTCTCTAATCTGCCAGTTGTGCCGTTTATCAATTTTCCTACGTTGAATCTTAAAAGCCGCCGCTTAGAATGTCCGATCCTTCGTTCTCAATCGCAACTTACGCTTTTACTTATTCAAGAGTATCGCGCGTGAAAGAGAACTGTTTTTTCAGCGCGACGTGATAGCCGCCGGAGGTGTCCCCGGCTTCAGATTCTCCCCGCCGACGAATGTCTTCACGTCGGTGGAAAATCTGCCGTCGCAGCAGTGCTACTGTCCAGCTGGACCACCGTGTGCACCGGAGGGCACGTTCAACGTCTCCCAATGCCAGTACGATTCGCCGGTTCTCCTCACTTTCCCGCATTTCTACCTTGGTGAGTGCCACGTAACGCGCGGTTTCTGGCCGCGGCGGCGAGGCCTTGTTTACGAATCGCTCTCGTAACGAGACTCGAAGCTATTTTTAATCGTCGTCAATTATCGTACTTATTATCGGAGTATACTTGCGATATTTCCACGTCGGACGATGTGTACGTCAAGATGACGGCGGCGCGGTTGGGTAACACTCGGCAAGTATCGCGTCTTGTTTTCGTGCCGTAATTATTATTATTATTATCTTTTTCCTTATCCTCGGGATTGATTGCGAGCTTCCCTAATCGCGGTACGTGATACACATCGCCCGATACTTGACGTAACTATCCTATTAGGAATATGCGAGTTCAGCATACGTCACTCGGGCTGATCGTTACGCGATCAGTCTCGCGTGTGTTTAAAAGTGTATCGCCTTACGTAAGCGCAGAGCGCATAATTCGCCGCGAATTATTTTCTTAGCAGATTATCGCGATAAAAATCTGTTTGCGTCGTACTGCAGCGCGCGTCGCACTCCTCGTCGCCGACGTTTCACGCCCCGCTTCAGCCCCGCGGACTATGCGACTACCGCTCGTCTATGCTCGTCGCGATTTCCTGGTGACAAGCGGACCGATTCCTCTCAGCGCCCACGTGTCGACCTTTCCTCCGCACGTTAGAACGGATAACCGTCAGACCGCCAAACGGCGGCTGGTTAACGAGGATCGTTTCGCAAGCGAGATCTACCTGTCGCTGCCGCTTCCGGCTTCGCGCGACTACGGCTTATTGTTAGAATCGAGCAGTCTGTTACCGCGAGGCCTATTTTTTTCGAGGCACAATCTCTTTCGCGCATCCGCTGCGCGATTCTCCCACGGAATATTATACCAGCTCCGTTTCTCTCTCTTTCTCCCTCCCTCTCTCTCTTTTGCGCTTATCGCGCATACTTTTACTTTCAACGCTCCGGATTTTTAGATCGTCGCCTCGTTTCACCGTCGTGCAAAACCATTCTCTCGCCGTAAAGCAAAATGTGCTCGATTTCGTTCGGCGAAAGATAGCCGCGAGCTTCTTGACGAATTCGACACGAAATAGTTTCTAAGCTCCTACACCTGGATTTCTAAAGCTTTTCCCCCGAGGGACGAGCACGACGATTCGATGTTGTTTTGCATTGATACTTACATAAACGTGCACTTTAGAAGCTATGTAATTATAAATGCAAAAATAATGCGGCAACTCGAGATCTTGGGAATTAAAAAAAAATGGGGAAGCACGCGAGACGAATTCCGATTAATTAACATCATTCTCGCGTTTACACGTGTCGAAGTACATTAGGCATCTCAAGTACGGCTCTTAAAGCCGTCCGGTCGTCGATTAGGCGCCATTTAACTGCGGCGCATTGTGTCCGGCTTTTACAACGTGTAACCACACATGGTGACTTTTGACACCGCGAAGCAACGTTATTATGTAAAGGCACGAGCGTTAGTCACTCTGGTGGTTAAACAGGCGCACCTCTGTTAAACCGCACCGAATAAAAACGAACAATCGTTGCTCACAAATTTGTTTAACAGTTAGATATTACACAGTGAGAAAAGGTCGCATTATTCACAATCGTAGTTTTAATAGCGATTTAATTATTGTTAGAGAGAAAGAGAGAAGATACAACGGTAATAATGGCTTCCCTAGTAGCACATTATATTGGCGCAATATTGGGAAATGATGTAAATCTAGTATTCTCAATATTGGTTAAATATTGCAAGACGGCCGCCGTCTCTTATTTCCCCAATATGTCTATTTAGCAATGTTGGTCTAATATTATATTCATATTAGACCAATATTGTTATTACATTGTTAAATATTGGCCAATGCACTTCCAACATAAGTCTAATATTATATAATTAATATCGTGCAGTATTTACATTTATCCCATCGGCCAATGTATCTCTAATGTAACCCAACATTGGGCCGATGTTCAGCCAACGTTTGGCCAATACACTGTGCTACTAGGGTTTAGCTCTGTCGAGTGACTCGAACACTCGATCGCCTTCTTCATCCGCCTTGGTTATTCCTTCCAGCCGATCCGGCCTTACGGGAGGCTGTGACGGGCATATCGCCGCCGGAAGCCGAGAAGCATCAGCTCTACATCGACGTGCAGCCGATAATGGGCACGGCTATGAAGGCGCGAGCGAGGGTGCAGATAAATCTCGCGGTCAGCCAGGTGCGAGACATCAAGCAGGTCGCATCGTTCCCCGACATCATTTTCCCCATTATGTGGTTCGAGGACGTAAGTATACGGAGGCTGTTTAATTATCCCCGGCGAAACTGTCTACCCTCGATCGATCTCGCGATAGCAATTACGTAACGGCGTCGTCTAATATCGTCGCTCTTACACGCATGGTATCACCTTAACTTAATATATTATGCGATACATTCGTAATAATTGCAATTGATATATCGTGCATCGTACAGCATTTCTCACGGTAATTATAATTTTTGATCGCTATCATATATCGTTAGTCACGATGGGATGTAAAAACGCGTTATACGAGTATCGAATCTGCAGTCAGTTTCTTGCTTTCTGTCTTACAATTACGTATGAATCGTTGCATGTTTTCTGTAAATTATTACGCAGCCGGCGCAGTTAAATGTTAAACGAGCACGGCAACTATCGCGCGTGAATTAAATTGCAGATTCTAATAGGATGCGAGCTAACGCAAAAAGTGGAGTAGACCGCCTTTTTTATGGCCGATAATTACGTTGTTCTAAAAAAAAAAACTATTAAGAAAATGGCTTATTAAGACTGCCAGCGTGTGGCATAAATTTTGTTAATTATGCCAATGAGAGAGTCTCAATATGCGAGCCCGTTTGGGGCCTTCGACTCCGGCGTGTCCTGGCGAACGTAAAAGACACGAAGATGACGCGAATAAAGTAAAGTGAAAATATATCGGAAGAGTATCGTTGCGCGAAACGGACATTCCACCGATTGGCTCGGTCGGAAGAGGGGAATAAAAGGGAAGGATATAAAAGGAATAAAAACGAAATACGGCGAGAAGCGAGCATTCATTACAACGTGGAACGAGACGAGACACGGTCGTCCGCGAGACAGGATCCGCACACACACACACACATACACACGGCTTTCAGGTATAACGCGTTTCGGCGCGGAGAAACGCAGATTGCGACGGGCGAGATTTACGAGGGGTATTAATTATTATTCATTAGCGGTCGGATGGGAAGCGCACCTTCCGAATCTTGAATAATTTAGCGGGCCACTTCGATCAAATTAGCGCGACGCGACGAGGAATCACGGGCCACGGTAGTGTCAAGCGCAGCTGGATCTTTTTTTGCCTTTTTTTTGTTGAAAAGGTTGCTTTTTAGTTTCTTTACGCGAGCGGAATCGAATTAAGCCGCCCTCAAGGATACCCCGGCTCGCGGAGGAACCTCACAATGCACCTGATCCCCTCCTTAGCCTGCGCTACTGACGACGGGACGCCGCGTCGCTTATAAATCGTCGCCATCATCCTCGAGCCGGTCGCGCAGGTGAAATTTTCATCTCTACCTCCCGGCCCGGCGACGACAATGACGGGAACGTGCCTGCCGTTCGCCGTTTCGCACGGACGGCCTGTGCGTCGGCGACGACGTGCGTTTGAATACCGCGCACGTACAGGTGCCGTACTGCCGCGCGCTTTTCGCCCATGATTCATATTGATGGAACCTCGTCTCGGCACCACCAATACAGAGTTCGACGTCATCCTCGCGCCGTTCTTTGACAAAAGAAAAAAAAGGGGCGAGGGAGAGAGAGAGAGAAAAGACTCCGAGAATTTCCTTTGTATCTGCGACAGCACGTACTCGAGAGTGCAAGAAACTCTGATTCGGCCAGTTCGAGAAACGTTCGTTGAAGCAAACGTGAAAATGAAGATCCGACCTTGTTGCATTCGAGGCCGCATCTCCGGTGACGCGTTGCCTCGAGTAAGATAACCGAACCGGATGTGCTCCAGATTCTCGCTTAGAAACTTCTTTACCAATACGTAATATATTGCAACCGATATTTTACCTGAAATTTTTGCTTGGATGTTTTTAATTTGATCTACCCGTCGCGTTTTCCTTTTTGTAATCACTTCTTAAGTAAGAGAAACACTATAGAATTAGCACGCGATTACATCTAACATACTAATTGTGCGCATTAATATATTACATTCCGCGTACGTGTGCGCAGAATGATAAGCGGAGGATAATTTATTTCGTCCTTAGTGGACTACAAAATTAACACGTTAATAATTATACGTATATTTCCATACGTGTGTCAACTTGTTTTCTGCCTGGCGAGACGGAAGGATGAAAGGTTAAGAAGAAAAAACCTTTAGAACGGATCGTTAAAACGATTATACAGAAATATTCTAAAGTAGGACTTAAAAAGCGTCCAAGTGTCGCGCAGAGACGCGTGGCTAAAGAAAAAAAGAGTTTTTTTAAATCGAAAAGTTTAATTAACGACGAGAGGAAACTTTCCAGAATAATTTAGCAAGCCATTCCCAGCGATAAGTGGTCGATCGGCGTCGAAACGGCGTCGAGCCAACATCCCGGCGAGAAATGATTCGTCGATCGGTGTCGAGTCGACACACCGAAAAAATTATATTCTCCTTTTAAGAATATTTCACTTACTTTTATAATATTTTACTCTAACACACGCGCTAAAAGGATTGTCTTAATTTAAGAGAGAAATCTTCTGAACAGGATATTCTTATCGGACATTCTTATTAGATGTCCTTAATGTATAAGAATATACACTAGATGATACATTTTCCTATCATATATTATTCATAGCACAAACAGTTCCACAAATAAACACTTACTATTTATTGCAGTACAGATAAATCATAACTAAGTAGCTTTTTTCGACAAGTAATAGCTACGACGCTTGTCCTTATTTTCTGTACTCAGCAACTGACGGGAGATTCTATCGGGAAGGTTAACACGATTCACGAGCAATTCTATTTTACATTTCAAATACCTGCTCATAAATAGGTCAAATGGCTTAAATCTTCTTTTTCTAACCACTCAACCACTTCCTCGTCCATTATTTGGGCAAGGATACCACACAGCAATTACAAACGCTACTCGAAACGTGATGAAACAAACATTGACACACACACATGTCGAAAGTTCACTAAAGTTGTTGCGAATTAAGAATATATTTTTAATTTAAGAAGATATTCTCCACAAAACATGATGTTGAGAAGGAAATATGCTTCCTCATTAAGTGAATCTCTTTTATATACAAAATAACACCAGAGCGGTGTGTGGACTGCACAGTAGAACATTTTCATACAAAAAACATTGAGGTTTAAAGTCTAATTCGTATCGCAGTGTGTCTTTGAAATTTTCAAACTATCCCGCCGGAGTTCAGCCGTCACTCCAGCATCCCCTTACGAGGATTTGTAAAGTACACGTTTCAAGAATACAATTTTTTTTTCCCCCGGTAGTGTCGTTTCGACGAATCATTTCCCACTGGGATCTACTCGATGGTTTCGACGTCGAGTCGACTCATTTTGATACCGATTGACGGGCCAGCGAATCTCTCTTCTCTCCGACGGAGATGCGGTCCTGGCTAACGCGTTTTCTCTTTTAGTGCGTCGACGAGCTGCCGAAGGAGATGCAGCACCTGCTGAAGCTGGTGGTGGACCTGCCGCCGGTGGCCCACGCCGCGGTGTCCGGCGCCATGGCCGCGGTCGGCGCGATCGTCCTGCTCGGCGCGCTCATGTGCCTGGCGCGCGCCGCCAAGCGCCAGGAGAAGCTGCACCTGAGCAACCCGCTGCCGGCGAACGCGAGCACCAAGACCGGCCAGCTGAACCCGGCCTTCAGCAAGTAGAGCCTCCCCCGAGTGAGGGAATCGAGACGAGTGCGCGAGTGCTCCAAGTTCCGCCCCGCGAGACGAGCGGTACCCCGCTTCGCGAGGACTTGTACGATAATCTTAATTATTTCTTAGGCGACGGGCATGTGCTTTATATCTCGATTAGGAGGATATTTCCACGGTCGAGTCTCGCGAGGGTGAGAGGGAGGGAGGGCGGGAGGGTGAGGCTGTCTCCGACGCGACGCGAATTTTGTCGGGTCGCGCGGATAGGCCGATAGATTAATTTATGTTACGTTACGTGTATTTTTTCTCGGGATGGTGCTCTGCACCAGGCGGTGTCAGGTCGCGCGAGTACAAATTAATCGCGAGCAACGATCAGCGAATTCGAGATCCACGTGTGGGCGGGTGTTTTCGGCACTGTCCTCTTGCCGCTCGAGACGGATCGACGGGTTCTTTTCCGCCGCGGAGGGACGAGCTGACGTGCTGAAAATTCGCGTTGGGGAAACAAAATGCGCCTCGGAAGTATGCGGGCGAGTTTTCGGATCTTCTTTTTTAATCTCTACTGTTAAATTCTCAGCCGAGAGACCGATTGGATAATATAGTCTCGCTGTTCACACGCTTGCCCGATTTGATTGCTGTGAAAACACCGAACCCGTCGAGTGTTTTCCTACGATGTTTTTCCCGCGACACCGGGCGGAAGTTGGAAATTAGAACCGAGTCATTATTACGAGGAACTTGGCGATTGAAAATTTCAACGACGCAACGTCGTCCTTTTTTATCAGGATTATTAATATTAATAACGAGCTGCTCCGTGACTCCCTGACGATCGTAATGAACCTCAGGATCGCCGACTAATCGCGCGAGGCAATTATCGCTGCGAATAGCTGACGTAAGGATCAAAGATGAAATTGATATTCCGTCCATGGCGTTGTCCCGAGGCCAAGCCTTCGTTCGCGACTTCAATTTGGATTGCACGAGCGTGTCCGCGACGGGTGGTAGTTTGTGTAATCGAGACGCAGCGAACAGCGGAACGACAGAAATCTCTTTTTTTCTGTAGGTACGTAGAATCTGGCCGTCGTTGTCGTTCACCCGATTGTAATTACCAAGAATGTACTATTTCTCGTTATTCGTTTGTACATGTCTTATTATTATTATAAATAATGTTACTAGACGTAGGTTATAATTAGACCTAATAAATAAATTACTTTTGTATGATAAAAATCAAAAGATACCAAACGAATTGCACGCGTGCGCACGCGAGAAATCAGATTATTGGTGTCAGCGTAATATATATATATATAGTTGTTATAACTATGTTCTTTCTCAAGTTTACTAACTCTCAACAATCACGCGCGTATATAGACTCTATAAAAAAAAGATGGAGTTTTGACCCCAGACAGCATGCGTGTCTAAGAGACATCTTTAAGACGGCATTAAGTTGTCTTTTAGACACGTACGTCTGAAAGTTGTCTTAAAGATATCTTCATGGTGTCTTTTAGACACGCATTGCTATCTGGGATCAGCTTGTTGCAAAAGATTTGTCGTTCTCCGCTTCGTACTAAGGGTCAGCATAGCTTGCGGTAAGAAGTAAGTCGTAGACACAGATAGCGCGCAAGCTTTGACGTATACACTTCCTGTTGATACGACGTTACATTCACGCCAAAACTTGTGCGCTATCTACGACTACGACTCGCCCTTTGCCGTAAGCTATTACGTTGCTTCGTGCTCAGCGGCTCGATCGCGAATCTTTCCCTCTAGTTCACGCTAGAGGACAAGATTCGTGAACGAGCACCTGACCCTAAATGAAATGACAAAACTGAAATGGCGGTAGATTCCGCTTTCGTTGGAAAGATCTGCGCCTTCTACTTCGGCAAATATGTCTTTTGTAGCAATCTGATATTTTGATTTAAATTCCCCAGGCACGAAAGAAAAAGAGAGAAGGGAATGGGAACTCTTCACTTGTATTGCTCACATCTTATTCTCGCATCTCTTCTCTTTCGTCCTGGAAATTTCCAAGTGTTTTCGAATTTTCTTTCGCCTCCCCGCTCTTCGCTTTCCAACGAGGAACGGGGAGGGACTCGTCCGAGAGATGGACGCGGCAGGAGGAAAATATACGATAGAATTCATTTTGTGACGATAGACGTCAATTTGTTGTGTTCACGATTATTCCACTCCTACACGTCATTTGCGCGATATCTGCGTTGCGACACGCAGATGTTGTTATTACGTGCAATGTTATTACGCGTTTATCTCGCCCACACGCACTACGATTGACGATGTGCGCGCGTGTGTGCGCGCGTGCCCGCGACCTAATACGAAAACGAGCTCTTTTCTTCGACGAATTAAGAGCTCACTTCTTCACCTCGCATCTCGGAGCGTGTGTCGTCACGTGTGGCGCGGGTTATCGAAATGTCAATGCGCACGACGTAGCACGTGATGGCGAATTGGCGTTAGATCAAGCGCGGCGAGGCGTGCGATTTACATGAATTATACGATCACGGCCACATCCGTCGGAGGCTAATTCCCGCGGTGCGGCGCGAGATGAAGGAATTGCGAGGCGTCCGCGAAGGAAGTCCATCGTGGCGACAGCTGCAAACGCGAAAGATCAAACCCTCCCGCCGTGTGCTGCGTTAAAATGAAAACTTTGTTTCCGACCGGCGTGTAGCAAATGAAAAATAAAGACGCGCGCCGTGCAGCTCTTTTTACATTTTATTATACAATATGTACAATATCAAACGCACGCAGTTCTCGACGGAGACCTCTCTGCTTTTGGACATGGGGGAAGGTGCAAAAAAAAGAGATACGCGGCGATGAATACCGGCGAGGATCTCTCGCCGGCCCCGGTGAGATGAAACTTACATTCTAAGCAGCCTATATCGAATCTCGCCGTCGAGACAACGAGCTCGTTAATTGAACGGTCGCACGTACTGCCGTCGCGTGTGCGTTACCTCTTAATTAAGTACAGGTCGTTCATTACGGCGTAACGCACCGTGGCGGTCGGCGACACCGCCAGGTAATAATACGCCGAGATGCGAATGCCGCAATGTCGCCGGTATAATTGCACGTTGTTTTCAGGGTTGGGAAAGTTACTTCATAAAAGTATCTAGTTACAGTTACAGTTTTCTCGCCGAAGATGTAACTAGCTGCAGTTACAAGTCACCCATTCTGAAAAGTAAGGGCCTGAGCAGAACGGCTGGCTTGTACTCTCAAGGCATAAGACAGTTATTGCGCGCTACCTCAAGACAAAGGCATAAAACATTGCCTTAAGGCTGTCTTAAGAGTATAAGTTACAGATGGAGAGAGGCCGGGTAACGAAGTTAAGTTAGAGTTACCGAAAAGAAGTAACTGCAACAGTAACTTCGTTACAAGTAACGAGTCACTGCCCAACCCTGTGATTATTTTCGAGTCTGCACTCGAGTCTCAATCACAGCTTCAGCCGCGCCGCGGGCGTGTTTCTCACGGCGCAGCGACGGCACGTCAATTTATCATTGGACTACTGGACCATCCACTGAGAAAAGTGTCGGATTAATTATAATCGGACAATCCAATTACACGATAACAAACGGATATATCCGATTGAATTGCCCGATGAAAAATATGATCGGGCTTTCAATCGCGTTTCGTCGGATAAATTTCACCGGACGTGTCCATAATTTAATCGATTTAGCCGATGGAATTTTTCCTCAGTGCAGTTTCGATTTTTTAATTATACGATGGATCGCGTGCGAATAAAAGAGGTCTTTAGATGCTAATTTTTTTTTGAATTCGTACTTACCCGAGAAAAAGTTTTGTCAACTTCGCGCACGAACGTTTACATTTTTATTCATATTTTTGTAAGTGTTATTGCACGACGAACAGTAAGTATCGTCCCTAATTTATTCGCAGGATAATCCAAAGTAAAGTCGCCTGGCAAACGCTTTGTTCAAGCGCGATATTTTACGAAACAGACGAGTCAATATTCGCGCGATCAGCATTATTTTTGTCTCCGAGAAACGTGCTAATTGTCATTATCACGTTTAGATTGTTCACAAGAACGGACTCCCTCCACGTGCTTGCACAACAATCATTATTAACGTTACCTAGCTCTGCGTGACGATGCAAATTCGTCCTCTTGTGCAACTTTACGAGGGACTAACGACTCGCATCTTCTGCCTCGAGTCGAACGTTGAACACGGACATCCCAGGAGACGTTGAAACAGTTCGATACGTCTAAAAACTTAGACCCTTTAATGTCTTGTACACATCCGCAATACCTCGGAATCCTCTCTTTCTGGGTGGATCGACGATCTCCGCTCGTTCGGTCCTTCTTCCCGAGCGGCTCCCGTTCCGATCAGGGCACCTCGCGAAGGTTGTTCCGAATGAACGTGTTACTTTGGACAACGACGCTCGGCTCCGCGCGATATTTCCAGAGGCAGGCAATTACGGCACTCAAGGAGAGTATCATTATTATCAGACTGCTCCATTGGAAGGCCATCTCCACGTTGGTCGCCATGAAATGCGCTTGCTGAAGGCTCTCCAATAGCTCTTCCGGGATCTCCTCTGTTCCAGCCTCAACCCACATAAGCGGTAGGATCGCGCCGTCTTTCAGCTTACCGAGGAACGGCACGCCGACCGCCTGTTGCACCTCCAGGTTCACTTGCAGCCTCAACCAGCCGGCCATGGGAACCCCTAAGCGCTAAAAGAACAAGAGTTTTATTAGAGCTTTATCACAAAAAACAGCAAAACAAGGAGCCTATCCCAGCGAGAATCAACGTCGAATCGACGTCAATGAAGTCCCACCTGTCAGTTTTCGAAAATAATGAAAAGTTAACGTAGCAATTGAATGCTGAAAAATAAAGCTCTAAAACTTTTAATTATTTTCGAAAACTGTTGGGACGTGGTTTCGACCCCATTCTCACTGGGGTACGTTGCTTTCAAATTTTCTAACATGAATTCGAATTGCAAGTGATTCTCGAAATGAAACCGAAGGCCAGTCGCGAGGTTCCGATTACAACTGGATGTAACGATTATCTAGTAAAATAATGATAATTAAAATTTAACATTGACGTACGGGATGTAAATCTAGGTAGCTCTCGTGATCCTCCTGCCGAGGATTCAAGCCGTCTATTTGCTCCAGCAGGGACTTGTCGGCGCCGTAAAAATGCGGAAACGACGAGAGCACGGGCGAGCCATAGCTGCACACGGACATATTGAAGAGTCCCGCGAGCGGGCAGACCCTCGTGCCGTGTACCTTCGGGCAGAAACACTCGTTCTGCTTGTCCGAAAAGTTATATGCGTCGGGGGTAAATTTATATCTGAAAAGAGAAAGTCGTACGCGTTAAGGCCCGTGTCCACGGTCCTAGGCACTTGGTCCAGGTTCTAGTTTCAACAAGTGTGTAGCCAATCAACTTGCGGCTATTCCATAAAAGCTGCAAGTTGACGGGCTACACATTTCTCGAACGTAATCTTCAATCAATTCTCTGTCTTCTAACGCAAAACTACGACTCTTGCGATCAAAATTTCCCAGATAGCGATGCATGTCTAAAAGACAATTAGTGTCTGCCGCCTTAAAGATATTTTTGGAGTGAAATTTCACTTTACTGGAGTGAATATTTACTCCAATAGAGTGACCGTTTCACCCCCTGGCAGTATTTTCGCTTCACAAATTTTAGAGAGTATCGCTTTATCAGACTTGTTCATAGTGCAAGAACAAAAGATTCGGAATGTGAGGAAATGCATTGTTATCAATTAATAGCACGAGATTACTTGAAATGTATTTTTTAAAATATCTGAATGTCCCGAGGACGAGTGGAAATCTTCGGGGATAGTTTTATCTCCTTTTAGCGGCGCGTTTGAGATTGAATCGCGATCCGTCAACGTCTAGCTTTTCCGTTTACCTTAACGAAGGTATGTCGTAGGTGGTCACTTGTTCGGTGAAGTGGAAGGGTATATTCCTGCAAATATCCTTGAAGTACACGTAAATGGGCTTGCTCGTGTCCTCTATCAAGTGGGGTGGGAACACGCTGCCCTCGATGCCCCCGATTTTGTCGCACCGCTCGTCGCCCCAGACGTGCCGGTTGTCCATCCCGTTCACTCGGTCGATCATGCCGAGGTTTTCGATGCCTCGCGATCCCGTGTGCATCGTGATGCGGTCCGCGTCGATGCCGTTTTTCTGCGAGAGAAGTGCGCGCGTTAATCGCGACTGAGAGACCCCGTTATCGCGGCATTTCTTTTCAATCCAACGAGAACGCCTTGTAGGCGCCCGAGCAAGATGTACCCGAGGAAAAATGAAAAGTCAAGATGGCGTTAATTTGATTGATGAACGCAAGACTTGGCGCTATAAAATAAATATTTGAAACATTGGAGTTCGACGTCGATTCGCGATCGGTTGACGAGTCGTTTCTCGCTGGGGAGACCTTCCACAAATTATATACGAGACCCTCGAGCGAATGCAATCACGTACCGTGACCATCATGCCGAACTTTTCGAAGGGCACGTCCCGCTCGAACATCATCAGCGACTTGGACATCTCGAAGAGCTTGGTGTCGTATCCCCAGAGGAAGCCGTCGGCGGTGAGATCGATGAACGGCTGCTCCTGCAGAGCCGACAGCATCGTGTTGGTCAGGAATCGCACGGTGAAGCCCAGGTCTCGGACGTACGCGGTGGTGAACATGAGCGGCACGTTCGGCACGACGACGGTGTCGTTGCCGACCCGGCCGCCCGCCCACTCGAAGGACCTCTTGTTCTGGAAGGTGACCGTGCCGTTGTCGTGCAACGCCACGTTCGTGCGGCTCACCTTCTCGCGGTACACGTAGGGACCGAGCTCCTGGACGCGCAGCTTGCTCGCCACCCCCGCCTCGAAGTCGTCCACGTTGGTGTAATTGAAGATGTAGATCCTGTACTTGAGCTCGAAGGGCGGACGCTGCCACCAGTCGAAGGTGCGGCTGCCGTTGCGCAGTTCCATATGCGATCGCACGTAGTCGTTGAACGTGTCCGTGCACCAGAACAGGTAGAAGACGGAGGCGCTTATCAGAAAGATGCCGCAGTAGATCCAGGCGATCCAGAAGCGAAGACGATGCCCACGCCGCGCGCAACGCCCGATCGCCTCCTTGTTCATGTCCAGGTCGGCCACCGAGATGGTCATCCCGATCGCCTGGATAGCCGACGAAGGAAGCAACGATCGCTCTCGATCGCTAGTCGCCGCGAATGTCCTCGTCGAGGATCGGACAGGAGTCTCGGTTAAATTTCGGAGCGAAATTCGAGTCTCCTGGACAGCCGTCCTGAAGGCCCGAGTCGCCAACGAGTTCTTCGGTGAGGACAAACGGCTGGCGTCCGACACGTCCGAGTGGCAATCCTAGTCAACGCAGGCAGATAAGCCGACGGCAGAGCGTCACCGTCGACGTACAACGTTTTCGACGAACTGGCCGGTCGAGCCACGCCGACCGCGTACAAAAATCTCCCCGCCTTTTTTAAAATCTAGCGATAACCTTGCCGCGCGGCGATGACCTTTGATGGTTAACACCTCCGATATGCGGCTCGGCACGGGGAGTTCAGAGGCGATTGCGCGGCTCTTAGGTTCCCGTTTGATCTCCCGCTCGATCTCTTCAGGTATTTCGCCGGCCGCGGAAGTGACCGAGGGTCTAACGCGTCTCTACCTAAACGAAATTCGGGGGAGACGTCCTCTCTGGGAGATAGCGCTTCCTCGGGGGCGTATCTAAATCGTTCTTATCGAAGTGTCACGCGAGTTGACGTCTCACTCGAGATCACACAATTGCTGAACAGCACAACATTTCGAAAGAGCCTGAGGAGCGCTCGAAGGAAGGGGGGGAAGAGAATGAAAAATCATATATAGAACGAATCAGAGGAAAGACTTATCGCTGTCAAGGCCATCGCTGACCCAGGTATCGCGGGCTGTTTCACCCCCCAGCCGCATCCGCAGAATTGCGCGAGAGAGAAAGAGAGAGAGAGAGAGAGAGAGAGATAAGAAAACTGAGAGAGATCTCTCGAGCGCGAGAACTAAAAAGAGGAGAAAGATTAATTTTTGCACCCGCGCCCGAGAGTGTGGACACTGCGCGTGTCATCCGATTCATTATCGCGCGAGTAAAATTGGAGGCTACGCCGACTGCGGGATCGTACGACACGTTTTTATCGCCGCCAGACGAGAAAAAACATGATTCCAGATATCGTCCCGCCCAGGGAGCCCGCGGACGTTCAAGGCTCGACACGCGGCCGCGCGTAACACAAGGGGGAGCGAAATGGAAATGAAAAGTCCCGGGAGACGCGACAGCGAACGATAATTTTTCACCCGGCCGAGCCGTTTTGCATTTCATCTTAAGATCTTAAGACCTCGTCGGGGCAATACGAGGCATTTTTCTGCTTTTGCGCTAAAACTTCCCGGCAGTACGAACATAGCGGGTGCTTTCCCGCGACGCAATGCACACAGGCGACACCGCGTAACGCAATGAATCGTTTTATCTTTGTTGCTTACCACTGCTAGACGAGAATGAAACGATTCTCTGCGTTACACCGTGTCAATCCGTGTCTCTCTTGCTGATAAGCACCCAGTAGGTCCATTCTCTGTCGGCCCCTTGGATCTTTGCGCCCCCGACCACGTGGTATTCCGCCATTATTTTAGGCAGCATTCCAGCGGCGTATGTGTGTGTGTACGTACTGTAGTTGTATCAATTGATAGCGCATGGAACTACCATGGACGCTTTAAAGCTACGCTACCACACGTACAGCTTGTCTCTCGTTGGTCTGCCCAGAACAATGTCGGATGCACAGAATGGATCGACGAAAATCGAAACTAATGACGGAGCGGGCCTACTAGTTGTACTAGGGTACAGATCTGCTAATAATAACAATCGCGTATCGGTTGATCTTAATGATTATAGGCTTGTTTTCTGTTCCTACACTATAGTGAACTAGTGCAATAAATTGGAGTAAGACAAGCATATTTTTTCTCATTCTAGCTTACTGCACTAGTTCACCAGTGCAGGAACAGAAAACAAACCCTATGTAATATTAATGGCTACGTTCAGCAGAAAAAGCTGCTTTGCAACTGTTGTAAAATTCGTGAATCTGCTTGGCGTATGCTCTTAAATTCACTCAACATCAAAAGAATACGCCAATCAGACTCACGACTTTTACAACAGTTGCAAAGCAGCTTTTCCTGCTGAACGCAGCCAATGATTATATAATAAGAAAAAAAGAGGACGGCGCTTTTTGTGTAATTATATCGTAATTACGATGTAGTTGCGTGATTACGTGGCGATTTGTGTCGCAGCAATAATGTAACAATCGATCTAATTTTGTATGCAAATAGGATTGCTCTGTCCGCCGTTTATACAATCATGCGTTGGACACGTGAGGGAATAGGGGTAAGATTCCGCGAAGGCATCCCACGAAGATGTCACCGAGTCGAGTGAATTTTGCTCGATGTGTAATTTACGATTAAAATGTGACAATTTTCTTGTAAGGTCTAAACGAAAGTCAGCGAGTATAAAATAAGACTTGTCATAATACAGATAATAAGACTTATATAAACCACCGTGCAGACTTCATGACTTGGCATGCCAGGATGATTAATGATTTCTAAGAAACGTATTTTATCTTTTAATTTTATCCTTTCAATGTTTGCTCGATTCTGTTTCCACATATCGAAGGTGAATCAAAACATCGTAAAAAACGGAAATAAATTAAAATAACAGAAAAGTTCAATTTGCGTTAGATACATTGAAGATTGTCGCATTTAATTCCGAGAATATATTCTCCTATCGACATATATTCCCGTGATTGCAGATTTTCGAAAATTACTCAAATTTTTATCTTATAATAAACGCAATATGTATATAATTGAAAGTACTACAGAAATATTTAACATATCGGTCTGCAAATCTCAGCCCTAATGGCACAGAAATATTTTAAAAGATTCAATATATTTTAAAATATTTATAAAGTATTTTAAAAAGATTTTAAGATATATTTAACCTTTTAAAATATTTCTGTGCTATTAGGGAGTGTCTTATTTAATTTCATACTGTTCCCGTTTCTGCAATGTTTTTAAATTCATTTTTACAATATTGATATAAGAAATGTGGCGTAAATCATTTAAAAGTGGTATTCCGACAAAATAAAAGACGCATCCGCGTCTTCTATTTGAACGAATGTCTCATTCTTTTTCTCGCGGACGTCTACCTCGGTCGCGCGTGAAAAAGGAGCGGACCTCACCCTCCTCGAGCGCAGATCTTCCTCGTACGCCGTCACTTCACTTCGCCTGCAAACAGTAAGGCCGTCGCGATGTTGCAATGTATGTATGTACCGTATGTGTATGCGTATTTTTTTTCGACGCGTGCTAATTGCCCGACGCGCGACATCAAGCGCGTCTATTCGCGCTTTTCATCAAGTATTGTTGTGTTATGACTAGCGGTTGGCCTTTTCACCCGCCGCATTCCCTCTTACGTTGTCCTTAACGGCGCGCCGCGCGTCGTACGATGATAAGAGCGGGCCGGCTCTTATCTGGTCGCGTGTACGCGATTACGCAAGGGTGGCGAGATCTCGGTCAGGACCGGCCGGGCCCTAGTAACGTCCGACGAAACGTGTAAAGAAGTTTGTAAAATTACATACATAATAAGTGTAGCGATTACACTGTTAATAACGAAGATACATAAACTTATGTACTTTTACAAGAAACGTTTTCATCCTTCGTTGTGTGAATATTTATACGTGATAAAAAATTACAAAAAATTGTAATATCTACACAAAAGCAAGCAGCTTACTTATTATGTAAAGTAATAATTGTATCTACAAGGTATAGATTTACTGACGTACCTATGTAAATGTCAGATGGTCCCAATGTTACCCACTACAATAATTGTAATTTTACATGTAATTTTTTTACAGCGCAACAAGATTCAGCTGTACAACGCAGCAAGAAATGACGTCGTTTCGACGAATTATTTCTCACTGGGAATAAAATAATTAACGATCATTACGATATCCGATTGCCGGACGGTGACGGATTCAATAATGGACAGAGAATCAATAGAGTGTCGTAACGGCGCCGGCCGCGATAAGCCACGGAGCGCCGATAATAATAAACTCTCGCCGCGTCGATTTACGAGGGGACCAGATAGATTTTTAACGATACGCCGTCTTCTACAAACTCGTCCAAATATTCCCGCGATATTTTCCTCCGACAAACGAGGCGTACAGATAGGATCGGCAGGATTTGCGTACTGTGGCTCCTTCTGCAAACTCGTAGAGATCTGCGCTTCATTTTTCGCGACTTGACACGAGAACGCGAGGATAATCGATAGCGACATCGGCCATGCACTCTTGCAACATATCCTGTATTCTGCGCCGTATCTCTTTTCTAGGAAAAAAAGATCAGCCGATAGCTTTGGAAGAGACGCTCGAATAGCAGTCTTTCTCACCACGTATAAAATACCGTTAACGTCGCTCGTTGCATTTTTGAATTATCTAAATTACACACTGCAGACTTCACGATAAGAATTAATTAAATGAAGTTTCAAAACTCGAAGTTTTCGGCGAGCTCAAAGGTGGCTCGTCTGGCCGTCTCGATGCGATTTCCATCACAATAAAAATTAACGACTTCGTCTCGTCACTTAAAAGAAAAAAATTATCCGCACATAATTTACGATCGATAACGCTGTACTTCCATGTCACGAGGGAGACAAGTGAGTTACAGAGGATGATGAAACGCCATGGTAGAATTACGATTTAATTATCCTATGTAAATGTACATTTGTAACAAGTGACATCTGCGACTCGTCGAACCCGCGGCGCATTATGATAAATAGAAAAAATCGCTCAACTAATCCTCTTCCGAGCGGCACTTTTATACTGTTCCCCATCCCTAGCGCTAGCTTCGCCACGCTAGCCTGTTAAAAAATGATCAACAATTGCGCTTTATTGTAGAATCATATCTTGTTATTTGCAATTATCTAGGCTGGTGCTATCGTGTTCCCGGGACACGGCTCTATCGCCGGAGTCTTGGAACGAACGTCCGCGTCGTCTTCCGTGGCGTATATCGACTTGGACTCCTGCTTCTCCTGTTCGCTCTGCCATTGTACCTGCGACGCAAGAAAGACGCGGTAAGTTCCTAGCAGACTTGATAAAATTACATACAAATGATATCGACAGTAAAACGTCGTTATTATATCAGATAAATCTGCATTTAATGTTAAATATTAAAGCACCTTCTGCTTGTGCTGCTTGATTGCCTCGAGACACCTGTCCATAACCATTTTTTCCGTTAACACGCCGTCCTCCGAGGCGTAGGCCGCCGCTTGCCAGGTGACTCCGAGTTTCGCCAGCTCTCGTCCGGACATTCCCTCCGTCAGATCGGCCATCTTGCTGCAGAGGGAACTGTAGTCAAACTGCGCGATCTTCAATCTCTTGTTACCCTCGATCGCCGGTTGGAGAACGAATTTGTCAAAGTAGAGGCGGACCAAACGCTCGCGCTCCTCGCGGCCCGGAAGACGGAACTCCACCATTTCGTCCAGGCGGTCGTTCACCGCCCAGTCGAATTGCTCCGGCGTGTTTGACGCGAGCACCAGCATGAACTTGTTGCTCTGCTCGCCCGTTCTGTACAGAAATGCGTTGAGCATCGCGCGGAGATCCTCCGAGATGTGCTCGCTCGAGCGTTTTCTCAGGAACGCGTCCGCCTCGTCGATGAACAATAGCAGCCCCTTACGGGACGTCAATGCCCAGTCGAAAACTTTGTGAATGGCGGTGACGCCGTCTCTGCCCAGCGGCGCCAGATCGCCGCCCGTCACGATCGCGTAGTCCATGGCCGAGTGCTCCGCCAGCTTCTTGGCGAACATGGTCTTGCCGGTACCGGGCGGACCGTGCATCAGTATGTTCCTGTACATGCCGCGATTGTACTTGGTGTTCTTGGTGGCTATCGCGATGTCGCGCAGTCTCTCCTCGAGCTTCGGCGCCAGGATCACGCCGGACAGCGCGTCGGTCTGCTTGCTCTTCAGCTTCTTAGCCGCTTGAACGGGGTGTCGGATGGTATCGAGGAACGTAAATCGCGAGGTCTCGCGCACCAACGACGGTTTACCTAAGCGAGACTCGATGTAGCGCGTCGCCACGCTGGTCGAGCCCTTGGCAGTGTAAATTCCAAATGCTACGAGGGACAGACCGCCCGCCGCCGCGAGGATCTTGTCCCAATCTTCAAGTAACGCTTTGGCACCCGAGCCCAACACCGAGCCAGCTGTTCTGGAAAATGTGACAATAATGAAGTTGAGTTTACAGCCGCAATGAAACGTGATACACGAGCGATAAAATGGCGATTGCTTACTTTATCGACTCTAAAACGGTAATCCTCTTTTCCGAGGCCTTCAATCTAATCTGTTCCAGATTGAGATCCTGGTTTTCTCTGTCGATCTTCGCTTTGGCCTTCAGCTCCGCCTCCAGCTTCCTCATCTCGTTCTTGTGCCTCAGCTCCATCTCGTGCTCTATCGTGGATTTCCTCATGGCCTCCTGCTTGGCCACCGACTCCTCTTGCCGCCTCAGATTCTCGTCGTTCATCTTCTGCTGCTGGAACAGTTGGTCCTCGTAGCGCTTTCTAGCCAATTGGTCTTGATACTGCGCCCTCATTTGATGCTGCTTCGTCTCCTCCTGCATGGTTTTCCTCCTTTCCTCGCCCTCCACTCGTTTCTGCTCCGCTCTCAGCTGTTCAATGCTGGCTTCGTATTTCTTTATCTCGGCGTGGTGCTCCACCTGCTTCGTCGTTTCCTGCATCTTGGACAGATCCAAGGCTTCTCTCGCATGTTCTGCGTCAAGACAAAACTACATTATCAGTCTGCGGGTCAAGCAATATTCTTGGTATCTCGAGCAATAAAGGAAAGATCGAGAAAGTATAGATTACATTTGATTTAAAGCAATAGCTTCCGCAGAATAAATATTATTAAACTTATTACTTCAATATGTCTTCTCTATGAAACATTAAAGGCAATCGCATCATCTTTTACAATGGTATTCATACATAATTTTGAAAAAGGCTCACAAGTTTCATCTACAAAAAAATCTCAACCAATGCCCGAGCATTTAACAAGCGGACAGCCAGCGCGGCGGATTGTCATCGATCAGACGACATCGTCCGCGAACGCTCGCGTCCTCGGTATCCCGCAGAGATCGCCGTTCGCCGGATCGATCGACGAATTCTCCGCTGAAAGTTGCGTCATCGCGCGCGCGAGCGAGAGGCCAAGCGGCCCTCGTGCGCGCGTGCCCTAACCTCCAAAGCCGCCCGCTTACGTAATCGCGCGCGCGGCTTTTCGCGGTAAGTGCGCGTGAGAAAGGCACCGTACTGGATCGTTCGAGTTCCTTGGCGGCCGTGGCGGCCCGTTCCAGCGCGCTCGAGTCGAATCTATACGCCTCCATTTGGGAACCGATCTTCGGCGGCGAGCCGCCGCCGCCGCCGCCGACGCTGCCGCCTCCGCCGTCGCCCGCCGGTGGTGGCGGCTGCACGAATTGTGTGAAGTCCTGCGGCTGCGAATTGCGATAGCCGAATAGCCACGACATTTTCCCTGCGGTCGACCGGCGCGTCCACGAGCGAAAAAGGTTACACTTGACGCGCCTCGGCACGCGTGTCCCGGAGCGTGTCCTGTCACGTGTACGTATGTTGCGCCGCTCCGATCGCGGCGAATGAGGCGAATCGCTGGCGAGTGCGCAGAATCGTCACAGCGCGCGCGGTTGGTTCCGGAATGCGCGCGATCGGTGCGTTCGTAAAAGACTCTTCGTTCTGCAGCTCCGTTTGCATGGAGATTCTCGCGTGGGCGTTCCGTCAGAAAAAAGACGCAATCAAGACAAGACAAGACGTTGAAGAATCAAAATATGATGTTGAAGAATCAAATTTTGATATTAAAGAATCAAATTTTGATGTTGAAGAATCAAATTTTTATGCTGAAGGATCAAATTTTGATGCTGAAGAAACAAATTTTGATGTTGAAGAACGAAAAAGTGACGTTGACGAATCAAAATATAATATTGAAGAATCAAATTTTGATGTTGAGGAATCAAATTTTGGTTGTGAAGAATCGAATTTTTATGCTGGAGAATCAAATTTTGATGTTGAAGAACGAGAAAGTGATGCTAAAGAACAAGAAATGAAATTTCATCAAATAAAATTTCAATGTGCGGAACCAATAAGGTGTCTCGAATCTGTACTCTAAACGCGGGATTATTATTATTATTATTATTTGGTTACCTTTGGTCTGTTCGTTATCGCTGCATTACTGCACTAGTGCAATTAACTAACTGCACTAGTGCAGTAATGCTGCGATAACGAACAGACCAGACGCCATTTTGCGTCAACCCTTGCCAGACTCTTAAGCCTATCACACAATGCCAGGCAACAGGCAACAGGAACAGGGAATAGAATTTTTGACGCGTTGGATTCGTCGGAAATTTTCCTTCAACCAATCCAACGCGTCAAAAATTCTATTCCCTATTCCTGTTGCCTGTTGCCTCGCATTGTGTGATAGGCTTTACTACAGGGACTCTAGCGCGGCCTAGCGGCGGTCGGTGAACTACTCAGAAGCTGGCGCACGTGCTGCGATTCGCGTATCCGCGAATATCTTGCGTATCCTCTTATTTCAAGAGGCTAGTCGTATTACTGTAATGGAATTTTCTATGCAGGAAATTAATCTTAATTATAACTTATGAGTCTACTCTTTTATAGATGAATATGTGTTAAAGTAAGTGAGAAATGCTTCATATAAGATTTTTTGTTTAGAGGAAATGCTTAGAGGATTTCCCCGCTTATGAATAGAATTTTTTTTTTGGTGCATAGCAAGCAGCGCCCAGAAACACCAATCATCATTTGAACATGCATAGCATATTCCTAGAACATAATGGAACATACTGCGTATGTTCATAAAGAAGTTCGTGAATATACCACGTACATTCTATGCGAATATTCATAGCACATTTACAACATTCCATAAACATTCGTAGCACATACGCTGCTAATATTCCACGTATATTCAGTAAGAATATTCGTAGAAAATTCCATGTGTACATTCCACATACATTCTGTAAGAATATTCATAGAACATTCAGAATATGCCATAGACACTCAGGGAACATTTAATGCGAATATTCCCTGATGGGCATTCTGTGTGAATGTTCATAGAATATGAAGAACATTCTAGAAACTTTCACGGCACATCCATGCGAATATTACTGAGAGAGAACATTCGAATCATATACAAACATTCATGGAACATTCGGTGCTATCTGGGCAAGACCATGGAAGTGTCTGTGATTGGTCGTGCGCGGTAGCACACCTTTCTTCTTACATCATGGGCCAATCCACATGGCCTCGGCGGCCCTCCACCATCCCCCCCACCATCGGCCACGGTGGACGTAGCGGCTTTCATCTGGGAGGTATGAATTGAATGGCCACTATGGCCAGTTCCGTCTGGGCCGCCGAACGGTTCACACACGTCTTCCGACGGAAGATAAATTTTTGATCCTGCGGGATTGCATCATCACGCGTGTGGCCTGGTTACCGGGCCATTGCATCGTTCAATTCACTACATTCCAAGCAATACCATTAATGGCCGATTTTTTCACTTCCCGATAAAATTATCCGGAGGTTAATCTCAAGTTTTGGCCAATCACGTGCATGGATCTGGTAGTTATCTCCCGTTTAACTTTAACCGTAACATAACTGGATGTGAAGAAATCGGGCATAAGTCTATTGGTTCGACGTGGCCGTGTCGGCTCAGTGTCTGTGAGCCGGGAGCCAATAACCAGAGAAGAAGAAGATCCACATGGCCTAGGGGCGGAAGGGGGGAACGCTCGGGATTTCCCGCGCTCTCGCGCCGCCCGCGGCGCGTCGAGTCACCGCACGCGCGCGCTATCGATATATATCGATGATCTCACCGTTCGCGGCAACGTTCCGACGGCTGCGGTGAGTGTGCTCTTTTCAAACATGGGGAGGTTATCCGCTTGAGGCAGTACTATGTGGGATCTCGGCAACCGCGGCGCCGTGGTGTTGATTAGTGTGACGTTCGGGTGCGTACTCGTCTACAACGCCTGGGGCGCTGTCCTGGCGCTGGCGTTCACGCTGCTCCTAGTGGTGTACGCGTGCTACTCCCTGCTCGCCAACGACAGTCTGGTGTCGCCGCACGCGTATCACGTTCTCGGCTACCTGCGGGAGGCGGTTCGCGAGCTCGGCGCGGCGCTCCGCGCCGTCCACGGCCACGGTACCGGTTACGCGCGTAAGCTCTGGCACAGTGCGAGCCGTTGTTACCGCGAGCGTTTTCCCCCGTTCAGGATGGACAGACGACGCGCGAGCAGCTATCAGCTCAGCAGCGACTCTTACGCCGCCGCTGTCAGGCGCGGGGAGCCGCCGTCGCTGCCGTTGCTGTCGTCATCGTCGTCGTCCAGGTTCGGCCTGATCGGCCAGCTGAGCCCGATCCCATGCGATCCCTACCGCTCGCGCGTCGTCAACGACACGCTCGGGGCGGACGGCGAGCTGTGTCACGCCGGCGATTACGATCGCGCGTCGCAGCGACAGCAGTACCCCGTCTACGCCAAGCACACGTCCACGCCGGTCCTGAGGCCCGGCGGCAGGGAGGACTGCCCGCGGAACGGCGATCTGGTCTCGCGCTCGCGCGAGACACCCGCCAGGAGGATTCCGCCTGTGCACGCACAGAATCACACGCTGAGCCGCGGCGAGAATGTCACGCAGTTCAGTCCCGAGGGGTCTCCGTGGGGTATGAGCATCAGCCCCAAGATGCGCCCGCGACCAGCCGGTGTGAAGACGGTGCAGACCGTCGCCGGACCGTTGTTGGCATCGACGAGATACAACATCGATCCCAAGTGAGTATCGCCGCGCGCTTCTCTTCCTTTCTCGTTCCATTCGTGTGGTATTATCTTCGTCAATCTTTCTTTCTTTCTTTTTCGTTGCTACGATTACACAATCTAACAATGAATTTTCCACCAAACAGATTTCGCTTCAAGGGCAATAGATTCACGGTGGAATCAACCGATGATGCTTATTAATTTAACAGAAACCCCATTATCCCAGCCACTAGGGGACTTTCCTCTATAATTGTGACCAACATTACTTACATTAGTTCTGTTTCCCCCTCGAAATGCAGGCTGTACACAGACGTATCGTCGCCGGGTCTCACAACGAGGCTGACCAAGTACGCCACGGAGGCAAAGAATAAACTGACTCATCAATCGCAGTACGGCACTGGGCAGTTTCCGAAAGTTAATCTCCACGCGAATCCGATTCCTCTGTTGAACTCGAAGCTGACGAAGCTGAGGATGCCCGTAACGGTGAGAGTAGCGCCGCCGGACGTGACAAAGTATTCTCCGCCCGAGAGGCAGAAGATGCTGTCCCACGTTTGCCACACGGAGAACAGATCGCCCACGAGCGTTGTCCAGGTCCTGCGAGAGATCTCGTTGAAGCGACACGCGTCGACGGAGGACGTCAGCTTCGACGTTGCGAAAAAGCAGAGGACGGAATTCTTTAACGAGGAGAGGGAAACGATTGTCGAGGAGAACAAGCAGAAACGAAACAGGGATGAGTTATCCAAGTCGGACGAGGATCTCTCTCCCCAAAGCAAATCTGTCAGACCTGCGAAGCGCACGAAGACGCGGTCCTGTTACGACATCTTGAATTCTTTGAGCTCTAGCGCCCATGTCGCCGCCGGGGTTAAAAGAAAAGCAGGTAGGTGTCGATCGCTATCTAATTGTGTATCATCGGGTCGTTGGATGTGCACGGATTTTTATCATTGGCAACATGTTTGTACAGTAGATTTCTCGCGCAGTGGTACGCCCGACTTCGAGAAGCATTTCAAGTCTCTGGAAAGCGCACGGACTAGCAGCTCGCCCACTGTGCCGCAGTCCCGCCCCAAGAATTTGGATCTAGATGACGGTAGATCTGATTTTAGAGAAATGTATACGAAAGGTCCCGAAGTCCTTAGTTCTAAGAAAACAGAGGAATTCCCTCTGGTGAAAGGAATATTGAAATCGTCTAATAAAGAATCGAGGCTCAATTTGGATAAAACCGGGCCTGCAGTTCGCAAGAGTGCGAGAAGCCCCAGCGAGACTGACAACAACAAATCCGCCGTACCGAGACCCGTTGTTAAACTCACGGACAAACTGTTTATGAGAGCAGAGCCTGAGCGGAACGAGCAGTTGAAGTCGCTCGTGGAGGAACCGGGTAATGTAAAGGTCAAATTCGCGACGGACAACGTGGAGGAAATAAGGAAGGAGGACATACGGAATATGAGGCAGAATAGTATGAAAGCCAGGCTGCAAAGTATGTTTGACGCGATATCGGGGAAAGGTAAGTAATCTAATATTGTACATATATCTTGTGGGTGACGTGGGCAAACGATATTTCTTATTGAGGTGACTCTAAAGGGACACGTTTTACCTTTCTTTGTCCCCTCTTCTCCCTCGTCTGACGTAACAACTATTTTATTTGTACATTTTCAGCAGAGAACAAGATCAACCCGGATGTCGTGATTCAAGCGGACGATATTAACACAATTACACCGCCGGTCACACAACCGGTCAGTTGTGCAACTCTCAACTCCTCGACAATGACGACGAGCATTAATACCACACCGCTGTCCACCGCCGCCATCGTACCGAGTGGTTTCTCTTCGTCGAGGCCGAGTATTGAGGCGAAACTTGAAACCAAGTCGGACGCAGCTTTACCGAACACCACGTCGCCGGCGCAATTGAGTGTGCCAGCGACAAATACTCTTGTGACGAAAGACACGAATTTAGCCGCCAAAACGATCGGGACTATCGAACAAACGAAAGCTGTGTCGATCGCGCCCGCGGTTACCAGCAAGAAGCCCTTGGAAACAATCATATCTTCGACTCCAAGTATAGCAACGCCGACTTTCGCTTTCGGAAAACCGGCCACAGATGTGCCAGCCGTGACGTCGAAAAGCACTTTGCCGAACTTTAGTACTGGTACATACAGTAGCAGCACCTTTACGCCAATTTCATCAAAGTCTACTAATTTCTTGGTGGTTGACAAAGCGCCGTCGAGTTCAACATTCGCACCGATTAGCCCTACCACGACTCAAGGAAACGTTCAGGCGAACAAAATCCTTACAAGCGCTGTCATTACCTCGCCCAGCACTGGGAATACTCAGACCGCCCTTGCTTTGACTTTTGGTAGCAACAAACCCGCTTTGCCTGTCGCGATGCCCACTCAAGTTGCTGCGTCAAGCTTGCCGTCCCAATTACCTGGGGCGATTGTTGCACTATTGCCGACCAATGCAACTACCGCAACGAGCGTCGCCGGTTTTAATAAAATTGTGAACAGTAGCGCGCCGAGTGGCGTGACAACCGCGTCTGCGACCGCGCCTTTGTTCGCCTTCGGAAGTAACAGTGCCGCATTGCAATCTCCGAAGTCGGATAAGTTCATGTTCGGCCAGCCCAGCAGTAACGCTCAGCCGAAGACAAACGCCTTTGCAAGCCCTGCAAATAGCCAAGCAGCATCATTGTCGCAAGTTACGACTAAACCTTTCAATTTCTCGTCCACTCCGATAGCTTCCTTAACGACCGTCGCAAATAGCTCGTTTACCGCGAACATGACGACTACCACGGCATCGACGTTCGGATTATCGAGCCCGTCTACGTTCTCGTTGGCCACGACGTCCGCTACCGCCTCAATACCCACCTTATCCACCAGCAAACCTCTGTTCGTTTTCGGCGCTTCCAACGCCTCGAGCGCGACGCCTATAGCCCTGCCAGCTGGGACGTCCACCACCACCACCACCACCGTTCCACAATTCGGCACGTCTACGACCGCGGTCGCGCAATTTGGGACACCTACGACCGCGGTCTCGCAATTTGGGACACCCACGACCGCGGTCTCGCAATTTGGGACACCCACGACCACGGTCTCGCAGTTTGGAACACCCCCGATGGCAGTTTCGCAATTTCGAACGCCCGCGACCACGGTTTCGCAATTCGGCGCACCCACCACGTCCATCTTCGCCACCGCGTCGGTTACGACGAACGCGAGCATATTCGGAACGGCCAGCAACAGCCAGCCGCTCTTCGGGACCGCGTCGGGGTCCGGAGCGGCGCCAGAAGCAGCCAGTTTATTCAACGCTCCGAAAACCACGACGTCGGCGATCTTCGTCTCGACGACCAACGTCGCGCCGTCGTCCGGCGGCACCAGTCTGTTCTCCAATGCCGGCGCCAACTCGACCCCGACCACCGCGGCGCCTTCGGTATTCGGTAGCAGCGCCCCGGTCTTCGGCCAGGCGTCCAAGTCCACGGCGTCCTTCGGGGCGGCGAGCGGTATGTTCGGCAGCACGACGGCGCCGATGTTCGGCAGAACCACGCAGACCAGCACGACCGCCCCCGCGTTCGGCGTCGCCGGCAACGTCTCCACCAGCGCGATCACCCCCGGCACCACCTTCGGCACCACCAACAGCACGACGCCCGCGTTCGGGACACCTGGCGCGGGGACGGCGACGAGCGTGCAGGCGGCGCCGGCTTTCGGCTCGACCACCGGGATATTCGGCTCGACCGACAGCAGCGCGCCGTCGGTCCCCATATTCGGAGCTAACGCTGCCCCGGCTACCGGGGACACCTTCGGCATCTCCTCACCGCCGAGCAACTTCGGCACGCAGAACTCCCCGAGTCTCGCGTTCGGTGCCGCGGTCGCTGGCACCGCGTTCGGCGACAACAAGTCTCTGTTCGGAGCAACGCCCGCGACCAGCGCGAGCTTCGGCGCGTCTAGCCCGCCTGTCCCCGCGTTTGGGGCTGGTAGCGCCAACAATGCCGCCGGCGCTACGAACAACATGTTCGTCTTCGGGGGCGCTCAGAAGGACGGGCAGCAGAGCACGACGAGTCCATTCGGTTCCAACTTCAACGCCGCGAGCAATAACTCCACGGCTGCACTGCCCGTCCCGTTCCAGTTTGGCTCCTCTTCCAAACCAGGTAGTCGGGACTGAACTGTTTTAATTGTTGTAATTATCAAGCGTGATTGCAATTATTACGGCCCACATTCTGAATCCTCTTTTTATTGATAAAAGGCGACTTCTGGCGACTGCTTGGTAGTGCCACTAAAATTGATTTTGAAGGATCTTATACGGGCACTTTTATCAATAAAAAAAGGTTTCAGAATGTGGACCTAAGAGCTTAGACGTAAGACGGAAAGCTAATTGCTCGCCAAGTGCTATCCGATGATCGCGCAAATCTTTCGGTTTGCACGGACACCAATTGGATTGTCCTGATTGCATTTTGTATCCTTCTGTTTTCAGCGACAGCGGGATTCAACTTCACCGCGCCGCCGGCGACGCCCACCCTCAATTTCGGGACCACGGTCGCGCCGACCTTCAATCCCTCGACGCCCGGCATGTTCAGCATCGGAAGCGGGTCCACCGCGCCGCGATCTAGAACAATTCGCTCGCGGAAACCGAGATGATGGAGAATGTAAACGCCACCTGCATATCCGAGTGCATACTTTCGTTGAAATATATATTCCAAGTGTTTATTCAATTATATTCTTTTACATAGGTACGTGTATGTTAGTGGTGTCCCGCGTTTAAAAAAAGAGACGTACATTCGACATGCGTATGCCGCATCTCGATATTTAATTTGGTAAATAAAATCACACGTCGGATTGTGAAGAGATTTGAAAGAATATTGTGGTATACTAGGCGGTTTGCGATCACGTTTTTACAAAAATGCGTTCGGTGACGGTTGCTAAGTATACCCACTTTGTACATAGTGTGTATCCTATAAAACTACATGTAGTGTCTTATCTGATTTGGTCACTTGCGATATCTTTGTATTTTTAGTGATACGGAAAAGCGTAGTAGTTGGTTAGAAGCTCTAGAACAGAAGTTGGCTGAAAGCTCTAGCCAATGATTCCATTTGCCCACGTATTCCGATAGCTTTTCCTGATTATCTCAATTCTCGTACACGTTCACAAGTCCAGAATACTCAGTTCCTGAACCACTGTAACTCACTCCGAATAATCTCAAGCCTGTCCAAACAAAATTCTGCGAAATATATTAGCACATCGTGTCATGATGGACGGGACTCAAAATACACGAACATACACGAATGTACTAACGGATTGCGAGTTACGATGGAAAAGCTCCTCGGCGTCGCTGTATCGGCCCGTAAACAGATATAACCAGGCTAAATGCCTTATACTCCCACTTCATAATCATCAGATTCTTCATTAACACTAATAGAGCTTACAAGCATCGTTTCCGCTTCCTGATTCCTGTTTATACGCGGGTATAAACGGCCGAAATGTCTGTGTATTGTATCGCGGTTTGTACGTTCCTTTCACCAAATTCAGTTTTCAATATTTCCAAAGCAGAGAAGTGAAGACGCTCGGCCTCGCGCGAAACATTAAAGTCCAACTGTACGATCAATAAAGTGATAATATTCTCAAGAATAAGCGCTTGTGTTCTGGCATTCCCGAACATTAAATGATTCGGGGGTAAGCGTCTCTCCATGATAGCTACAGCCATATCGGCGTGATGTTAAACGTGTGACAGTTAATTATTCTGTTCCTGAAGAGAGTGAGCTAAGTCTTTATATACCAAGGATCCGATTAGATAGACAAAGATACTTTTCTTACAATTAGTGCAGTACGAAAATTAAAAATCGATGACGTACAAATTTCTAACACGAATTACAATTTTTCTTGTTTTCTTACTTTGGCACAAAATGTCTTGTAATTGGCAAGTCGCGCAGTAACGTCTAACTGCATAAAATTTGAGTCGAACACACGTGATACATCACGTGGTAAAGAACGTATTTATTACGTTTACGATTTATTGGCTGTGGATATTTTTGTACATCGATCAGTGGTTCTTTAGATCGGTCGCGTTGGTCTAGAAGCTAATGATTTTGTGCCCACGTATTCTGATAGCTTTTCTTGATTATCTTAATGTACACAAGCACGGCAACTTGAACTAAAAAGAATTAAAGACCACAATATTTATATTGCAGTATCGTGACAAATATATTTTATTGATTAAATCAACCTTTTCAAAGTTGTACGAATAAAAAAATGATATCGCATTGACAATTATGTCCTATCAAAAATCGTTCTTCGAACATTAAACGCAGTCTCGCATGTAATTACACAATTGCCAGTAGGTACTATCGAACCTCGGTAGGGAAAATTAATAAAATTAGCTTTTAAAATCGATCTCCGCCAAGAGAAGTCAATGATCTTGAAAGCAAGGCGTTGGGAACAGTGACTAGGAAAAAAAAAATGCTGTCCTCGAGATATTTGTCCTTTCGAGTCGACTTCTCCGTTACGCGTTTCTCGGCGTCCGTCGGAAATAACATGTATTACAGACGAGTTAAATGAGTCCTGTGTACCAGTCTATTCGTGTATTTTAGTCCATTGTACTCGCTGGAGAAGAAATGGCATGAATCTCGGCGAAAGACACCCGACTCCGAGTCCGCGTCGTTGCGCGATAAAACGCAACGCGTGACTCGGAGATTCGGCAAAGCGCGAGCTTATCTATCTGTACATTTGTAACTAAAGTATGATAAAACGTATCATCCGTTTGTTCTCGAAATCCATGGATAACAAAGCAGAAACTGCATATATATATATCTCTCTCTCTCCCCCTCTTTCTCTCTAGGCTGGCTCAAAATTGAACTAAAACTCTATACTTTGTGGGAAGTCGGACCTTTCCTGTTCTACAACAAAAGGTACCACCGTCCACTTATAATTTTTTTAATTTCCGTACAATAGGGTTGTAAGAAACACCAGAGCGCCTATAAATACATTAGTTCCACCGCTGTGCCGGACGGAGTTCTACAGGGTGTTTCATTTTAAATAATTTTCGAAGATTGAAAATTTTTGTGTATGTAAATTTTGTGTTACAATACACAAAAGTGTTCAATAATTGAAACGACATTGCGACAGCATATTCCTGAGACTAAATCGAGTAAAACAATTTTGTAAAAATTAGTACATAACTTTACTGGTTTAAAAAATTTGAGAAACAACAAAATCTTAAAGAATTAAAACATCCGCTTACGTGTAGAATATTACAAAAATTCACAAAAGCGTTCCAATTCCAGCATTTTCCTGTTGACTTTTATAACACTTTTTAAATTTACATAGATTAATTTCTTAGATTCTGGCAGTTGTATTTTTTTTGTAAAATTATTTCTAGTAGGAATACATCCAGTAAGCGGTTCTGGTAGGATTTTACATCTAGTAAGCGGTGCGACTTTCGGCTTGGTCGTTCGCTTGTTGTGTACATGTGCCTCGCATGTACACAACATGGACACCGGTTCGTCTATGTACAATGGCCCAATACTTCCGGTCCTCCTAAAAGTTTTGCATTTTGAAGGCGAGTCATACGATTAGTGTCTTCCCGAAATACGAGTGATTCGAGTAGTGAAGGTGCATTTGTCATAAACGACACAGATCCCCTCCCACATTCTCATTGCGTTACACGTACGTGAAAAACTAACGCTCGTGCACATGTACACAATTCATTACGCTAATGTTTAGAGAAGCGCACGTGTGTGTGTGTGTGTCGTGTGGCCATAGGAATTTTCCAGAAAAATACGAGTTGCATCCGTTATTTAACTGCCGACACGACACGACGGTTGACGCGTTTTTCGCTCGTATCCTCTTTTTTTTTCCTACTTGTCACGCGTGCAGATTTGCCGATATTAGCCACGTGCATTAGTCAACATTAGTCAATGTTGACTAATAATAAGCGCGTTGCACGCTACACACCTGGAGACTACTTCCCTTAGATATCTACAACGTCAATGTCCATTTCTACCAATGTAACTCAACTTTAGTCTCTGTAGATTAGCTCTAATTTAATTTGCTTTTCATCCTTTTCTAATTTTTAGAACTGGAGAAGGATAAGAAATAATTGAACGAGATTCAAATTCAATCCGCATTGATAGAAATGGACACAGAGACTGCTGCTTTCAGCGTTTGTTAACGTTCTGAAAATTAACGGTCGGTTAAAAGTTCACAAATATTGAAAATAGTGGCCATAATGCCCGTTCCTAACTTTAATTATTATTAACTTTAATCTCGGTTCAACTCACTTTCTCCGGTTTTAAAAATCAGAAAAAGACACGCGATTGAAGTTCGGATTAATAAAATAATCTGTAGTGGTAGAAACACGAGCGTAAAGCACCAACGATACGTTGCTGACGCTCGTTCTTGGGACTGAGCGTTTTCGAGAACTCTCGCATCTCGAAAATTCTGAGTTTCTTGCTTCACATATGTTCGTAGGCAAGGCGAATTACTTATTTGTCCCTATATCGTATAGATTCTTTTATTGTGAAATCCCAAAAGACTCCGTTTCCTTTGTCCTTGAGAACAAGGCAGTCTCAAGGGAGTCTCGGGAAAATACTGCATAAAATATATGTTAAAGGCGAAGGCTCGCCGGTTTTTCAAAAAATTGTGCATGGAGGAAGCGAGAGAGGGTCCGAGCTTAAATTATTATCGTCTCGTTAACGTTATCGATGCGAGGAAATATCTGAAACATCTCGCACGCAGGGAACCAAGTTCTCTCTCTCTCTCTCTCTCTCTCTCTCTCTCTCTCTCTCTCTTTCACTCGTGTCGCGCGCAATGTACATTACAATAAACGAGCGTTTCTTTAAATCGTTATTCAAAATATTATTATCGAGGCTTTCCTCCGATCTCTCTGCGTCGCCGGAGAGTATACGAATAGCCCGTGTACGTTTATAATCCCAAATCCGCATTTTTCCCCTGCGTCCCGCATGCTAACACGCTAACGTTCTTATTTTTCGCTATATACGTATTTTCAACTTGAACATCCTTCTCTCTCTTTTAGCTCCCTTGCTCTTAGCCTCTTGCTTTTCTTCCTCTACGAATTTCCGGCTCCTCTTTTGTAGAGTAAAAATGACTCTCGAAAATTCTATTTTGCTATTCTTCCCTTTCAAATACGTTTCTATAGGCAGGACGAATTGCTTGTTTCTCTCATTAGTGTACTCTATATGTTTCTCGTTTAGTGAAATCTCACGAGAATCCATTTGCTGTACCCTTGAGGTCGTAGCGTCGAATCGCAGGAAAACTTAACATAAAATCTATTACAGGTTCGTTGAATTCAAAAGTTGTGGAAAGAAGGGTGGTGAGGGGTGCGAGCGCGGCTGGTCCCGGCATGCGCGTGCGCCGCGGTCCTCGGCGCTGCTCGGCCGGCGCTCGTGCGTCTTCGCCGAGGCACGGGGCGCGCGATTGGCGGCGCGGCGGCCGGCCGACGGGGGCCGGCCAATCGGCGGGCGCGTTGCACGGGCCGTGGCGTGGTGTTTACCCGACTGTCTAGACGTACGTCCATTGCGAACATCAGCAGACGCGAGTTAACATCTTAGTGAGCCGGTAACATCGAGGTTTGCTTGTCTCTATACCACCTTACCATCATGGGTGAGACGGAGAAGCAGCCCGAACAACCCAAGGCTGTCCAGCAGAAAATGGTCATCGGTGAGTGACGATTCGGGTAACCCGCGCCGTTATTTCCGCGCGCGCGGCCCCTCGTCGCCGCGCGTCCGTGCTACGCCGTCGTCGGCCCCCGTCGCCGTCGCCGCGCGTTCCTCCGCCCGTAATGGCGTCCGCGCGCGGCGCCGCGAGCTCCGAAGCCACGCGGCCCGGCATCCGCGGCGGTCCAGGGCGGAGGATCCTCTCGGCCGAGGATCCTCGGCGGCCCGGAGCCCCGTCGGGCGCGTCGCGCGCCGGCCATCCGGCGGGCGTAGCGCGGCCGCGAGGCGACACGGCGGCCACGCCAGGCCGCGCCGCGCTCGGGCCTCCATTTTCGCCGTCATCAGCTGATGCTTTCTCGTCGCCGAGCTACTCCCGCGGCCGCGACTCCTCCGCGGAGGCTCTCGCTCGCTCTTTCTCTCTCTTTTTCGCGCCGGGCGCCGCTCGCTCGTCGCGTCGCGTCGCGTCGCATAACCTGAAAACTGGCGGCGGCATACGGGCGCCGCCGCGAGCGAGGAAAGTACGCGGGCGCGATTTTCCGGAGCGTTTCCCTTCCACCGCCGAGATCCGCGGCGGATTATCGATCTCGCCCGTCCCCCCGCGCGTCGATCCGAAATATCCTCGCCCCCGCGCGCGCGCTCCACGTTTTCGTTACGTAAGCGCGTCGCCGCGTGCTCTCCTCGCGGCGTGCCTGGGCTTCGCGCGCGCCTCCGGATCTCGCGCACTTCCGCCACGTGAAGACGCTCGCGTTATTTCGAAAACCGTGCGGCAATCCGTTTTGCAGCTCCGTATTCTGCGAGACGTATCGGTAGAGCGTTCCCCCTTTTTCCCCCCTAGGGCGAGAGATCAAGTTAAAGATCGTTATATTAGTCCACATTCCTTACGAAATTCAGCGGAATTCAGGCCTGTTCTTTCCCAAACTGAAAAATCGTCGGAGATCGATTTCGAATTAAATTTCTCTCCCGATCGATTCTTACAAATTTTTCTAAAATACTATTAATCTACTTGTACGCGTCTTGTTATTTCGAAAACGGGAGGTCGAAGAGAAAATCATGTACAAAAGTCTGCAAAAGTTTTACAAATCGGAGACTCGACGGAATATATCGGTGGAATATTCCTTTTTTTTCCTAGAACGAGAGATCGTTAAAGATCAAATTTGAATCGAGTCTGCTTCCAGAAACTTCCAGCTCCTACAAATCTCTCTGGAATCGTTATGTTAGTCCACGTGCCTTACGAAATTCAGCAGAATTCAGGCCTGTTCTTTCCCAAACTGAAAAATCGTCGGAGATCGGTTTCGAATTAAATTTCTCTCCCGAAACGATCGATTCTTACAAATTTTTCTAAAATACTATTAATCTACTTGTACGCGTCTTGTTATTTCGAAAACGGGAATTCGAAGAGAAAATCATGTACGAAAATCTACAAAAGTTTTACAAATCGGAGACTCGACGGAATATATCGGTAGAACATTCCTTTTCCTTTCCTAGAACGAGAGATCGTTAAAGATCGAATTTGAATGGAGTCTGCTTCCAGAAACTTCCAGCTCCTAGAAATATCTCTAGAATCATTTTATCGTTGATCTACGTGTCTTAAAATTTCTGACGAGATTCAGCAGAGTTCAGTCGCGTCGTGTTGAGAAGTCGTCGAGTTTGAGCTAAATTTCTCTCCCGATTCCTATAAATTTCCCGAAAATGCTATTAATCTCCGCGCACGCGTCTTGTTGAAACGTTATTTTGAAAACGGGGATTCGAAACAGAAAATTACGTGCTAAAGTCTATTTCGCAAATCAAAGACTCGACGGAACGTATCGCTAGAACATTCCTTAAATTTGAATTCAGTTTGCCCCCCCGAAGTTTCCAGTCTCCTCTAAAACGGTCACATCGTTAATGCATCTCGTCAACATTTCCAACGAGATTCAATAGAACGCACTCAATCGCGCCTACGTTTTCCTAAACTGAGCCATGATTGAGGATCAAATTTGAATCCAATTTATTCTCCAGAAATATCCAATTCCTACAAATCTCTCGAGTACCGCCGGTCCATATTTGCACTTATTAAAATTCGTAACGAGTCCCTTTGCAATCGCGACCGTTTCGGTTTTCCTCGATCGCGGAGTCGTACGAGATCGACACGTTCGAGAAAGTTCGTCGAAGTCTGCCGAGCCTCGCGAATTTCGCCGAAGTTTATCTCGAAAATATTCGGAAACTAACTACGCAGATTAACACCGTTAATTTACGCGTCAGTCTGTGCCTGATTAAAATTCGCAACGTTCACAAATGTATTTACGTCCCCCGTCAGTGCCTAATTAAACCATTACACCTAATCGAGTTTTAAGCCGCCCTCGTGTCTCGAGATCGTCGTGATAGAAGGGTGCGTTGTTCACCTCGTCGATTGATCTCGGGCTTCGTTCGCGGAATATCGCCCGAGATTTTCAGAACACGCGAGGAATTTCGCCGCTACGAATCGCCGCGGCCCGATCCTATCGTCGCTGACACTAATTTCGACCTTTGTTTTGGGTTAGACCGCGCGGCAAGGTCGCGTGTAACTGTTGTGAAGATAGTCTTATCATCATATTTTCGTCGAAACGCGGGCGCTCGCGAGTGTACATGCGCGTAACATACGCCGCTCCCGAGGCGGAATTCGCGTCACCCCCGCGGATCCCGAGAACCCGGACCCAATCTTGCGCGTCCCCAAAGTCCCACGGCACGTCCGCTCGGGGAAATTCAGATCAATCCTTCATCGCGGACCGTCGGTCCCAATCGCCGCCCTCACTTTCCCGCCGATCTCGTCTCTCCTCTCGCTCGACTTTCCTCGTCTTCCACTGTTCCCAGAAATATTATTCGCCGTGTAAAAACGGCAGCCGTTTGTACCTCGAGACGCGCTTACGTGCTCGTAAACACGTGACAATAACGTGTACCTGCGGTTAAGCGCGTTATTTCCCTCGTCAAGGTCGCCCTCGCATTTTAATAATAACAATAAGCGGCAGGCAACATTTTTCCCCGGCTCATTATTCGTTGCACGCGACTCGCGAGCACCTCCGGGGTGGAGTTTCTCCCGCGTACTTACATTTCTTATTTCCTTACTCTCTTTCGCTCTTTCGTGTCTCACACTTCGAGCCGTACCGCAACGTATCGCGTGGCCGGTCATCCCCCCCGATTTTCGTCCCGAATCCACGACGGCCGACTGCACGCGCGCGCGCGCCCGCCACACACGTATCGCATATATCATGAAACCTTTTTTCTTTTATTTCAGCTAATAAGGTGACGGGAACTGTGAAATGGTTCAATGTCAAGAGTGGATATGGCTTTATCAATAGGTCAGTAATTATCATTTCGCAAAACTGCCTCGCGCTTTCTTCGTCTACCTTACCCCCCCCCCCACCTCATCTGCGATCGCCCCCTTTGGCAGATAGAGGAGAAGGCACACGCACACGCACCTCTACTCGCCCGCGCGCCTGTGCGCGCCACGTGCGTGCGCGTTGTGGGCGTCAGGGTTACTCATGCACTATTAATTTAAACGTCCATTTCGCGCCGCGACCGCGCGCGCGCGCGAGAGAGAGAGAGCGTCCAAAAGCGACGCTTTCGCGCGCGTTAACTGTCGCGCCCGCCGCGAAAAGTTGTTCCCCGCGTAAACGCGCGAGATCTGTCCAATTATCGCTTCCGCCGCTTTGTTTCCTTATCCGTAAGGCCGCGCTTGAAATTACGCCCGCGTTGCCCCGCGCTCGCCGAATAAATTTCCCGCCCGTCCTCTCCCGCGGCGCGTTAAATTATTCACGAGGAATGTTAACCGTCTGACGCGCACGTGGCTTGGGCCCTCGTGAAAATTTCAGCCCGCGCGTTAGCCCCGACGAGAGTTATTTGTCGAGTCCACGACATCGAGAGCCACGGCATCGAGTCGGCCCGTGCAATATTTCGCGCGCGCTCTCTCTCTCTCTCTCTCTCTTTCTCTTGATGAAATGTCGACGCGAAATACATATTCGTGATTTCCTCCAAGAAATCTCGAAGCGAAGCCAACGGCACGCGATACCATGTTTCCTGCTGAATTGCCCGACCAATAAGAACGCAAAGAGCTTTAGATCGGGCGGCTAATCCTGATTGGCTCTCGCGAGCAGTCCAGTGGGAAAAATACGAGTTTCAAGGCGTCCTGCGTCCACGATGCCCAGGACTCGGTGGCTTTCAACCGTTTCCCATTGTCGTCGAAGAGTCGCTAACATCCCGGGGGCTAAGATTCCGCCATTTTCGAAACGTCCGTCGACTTGGCCCAGCTTCGAAACCTTCTACCGAGCGTACCACGTGGTCGATCCCGAGTCTTTCGTGTCCGTTGAAACACGAATCGTTGTTTAAAATATCCGTCTCGCAAGTGACATTAATCTTGTCCTCGCCGCTTCGAGATCTCTCTCTCTCTCTTTATTTGCCGGAAAGTATCGAACGGATTGAAGGATGGCGTCTTACTCGATTACAACATTTAGGTCCGGTTTCCCCAACGTTGTTTAACTTGCAGCTTGGCTCAATTCATCCTCTGTCTCTTTCCAACCGTTGCTTCAGAAAGAGACAAACGCGACTCGATCTAGGACCGAAGTTAAGCGACGTTTGGGCGAGAAACCGGGCCTCGATTCCTCAGTGCTCGGTAATCCTGATCGGTTGAAGCGAACGGAGACACCCTGGTCCTCCGATTCTCGCGGGCTCGGGGGGCGTCGCGCGCCTTCGTAAATTGAAATTAGAATTTGGGACGCGAGGAAGCGTCGCGAGGGCTAATTGATAATGGCTACGGGGCGCACGGGCGAGTCACTAATATTAGGAAAATCGCCGTCTCCGCGCCGCAGGTTCGACCCGCAACCTCGACCTGGCAGCGCGCCGGCCACGGAAAATAGACGCTTCATTCGGCACGTGGACGGGCCCGTATAGGAACGCGGAGTCGGTCCCTCGCTATTTCGAGGTCTCTCTCTCTATTTATCTGGCGGACCGCCAGGAAGTTTTCGCGCTCGCGCGGCGCGGCGCTTTACGCGCGGAACCGCCGCCGCGGACTCCACCGGCGAGTCGCGCGTCTCGGAAGAAGGAATTCGCGCGACTACTCGCTCGTCTGCGCGTTCTTTTCTTTCCTTTTTTTTACACAAAAGAGGGGGAGGGAGGCGGAAGGTGCTTTCGCGCGACCGTTCTTGTTAGGCTCGGACGCTTACCTGCCCCAGAGAGATCTCGAATGCACTTTCACTGGCGTAAAACTGCGCTCGACGTGTCGCGAGACGTTAGATGTGACCGTTAACGGTGCAGCGGTTTACAGACGTGGCACGCTTTCCTCCCGGATTGCCCCGAAGAAATTGTCGCGTGGCGCAATGCTCTCTTTTTCTTTTCAGCTTCGAGTGTCCCCGCGCCTCTAGAGACATAGATGTAATAGATAGTTGCATTCCTCGTTTTAATATCGGTATCTTATCTCTTTAAGAGGCGCGTCCAGAAATAAACAAATAAAAGATAGTATATCGAAAAAATAGTGCTGTATGTTCTCGCGCGGAATAAAAACTTTCTACGTTTGGCGGGAGTTTTCCTCCGCTGTCTTTTATACGTGCATTCCGCGCCTCTTAAAGAGATTGGTAAGTTTCTCTACCGATAAAGTCGCTCGTTAACAAAATCGAACGAGCAGCGGAGACGTTGGACACGAGGTCTGTTCTTTCTAGCTGAACTGACTGCGCCAGTTCAGAGTTTATCTCTCTCCCTCCGCGTTGGAAGGAACAAGATAAACTCTGAACCAGCGCGGCTAGTTCAGCTGTAAAGACTAGACCTCGTGTCTCGTGTCCCCGCTGCTCACTCAAATTTCTCAACGAGCGGCTTTTCCGCGGAGAAATTGATCGATCCCTTTAAGAGTCGCGTTAAGGAACGTACATGTGAAAGATAGTGGAGGAAAGTTCTCCGTTATGAGACAGGATTCTAATGCGAGATAGGTTTCCAGCGTCCAGACTGAATCGCAAATCGTTTCCCGCAACGATGCAACAATCAATTTTCCGCCAAACAGATTTCACCCCAAGAAATTCACGGTGAAGCAAACAGACGGCGCCTATTAATTTAGCGGAAACTGTCTCGTAATAGAGGACTTTCCTCGATACATCTCTTGCGGAATACAAAGTGTTATCCATTTTTTGGAGAGGGTTCCAGCATTATGTCTCATTCAAATTTGTCAACGAGCGACTCTTCGGTAGAGAAACTTATTATCGATACGCGATTGTCCCCTTAGCAATCGGGATAATCTTCAAACTTGGAACACATTCGCAAGAGGAAGCCGTCGCGCACACACACACAGTGCGGCTATTAATAAACGAGAACGGAACCGAGAATCTGTCTCGGTCTCGCCCGGTGAGCATTCGGCGATACTTCCGGGACAAATTCCTCTACGAGTCCGCAAAATTAACAAATGGGGATTAGACACGACACCGCAGGGAATCCGTTCTTAAAACCGTCCGCTCAGTTGGAATCTAACGGCTCTAGCCGAGAATACCGAAGAGCATTGTTCATTCGCGTCCTACTCGTCCCTTTTGGCGAACTTGGTGATAACACAATGGCGGAGCAACGTTTCGCCTCAATACCCGTTGGATCGCGACCCATTAATTATTCGGTATCGATCTATATTCTGTGGCAAACAGTGAAATTTCCCTGCAATGGACTTCCGTTTGCGTAGCCGACATTCCAACGTCGACGAGAAGGTCGGCGTTTATATCGTTGCTCGAATTCGCGGGGGAGAAAATGACAATTTTTCTGAGGCTCGTCGCTCACGAAAGTGACCGGGCGAAAATTACGTGCGCCGAGGCCGCCGAGGTAATTCGCCGAAAGCTCGATTTGATTTCCGTACCTGATCCACCTTTTGTTAGCCGCGTGTGAGAAAGGGGAGTCGCCTGTGTCTAGGCCGTGCGACAGCTGGGCGTTTGTGTACGAGTTGTATTTTCTCTTTTAACCGCTGTGCACCGCGCGCGGTTCAACGACCTCTCTGCCCCGTGCTTTGCTCCGCAGCTTCATGGATTCCGATTACGTCTGTACGCCCGCGAATTCGTGCGTAGGATAGATGTAAATACGTGTCGTTACGCGCGACGCGTGTACCCCGCGTGCGCGGGGCGGAACCTCGTGGAAAATGCGCGCGGATCACGCGGGGTCCCGTGTCAATGCGGTTACGCGGTGAATTTCATGAGCGGACGGACGCGATTATGCCTCCTTACAATTAAACGAGTGCGTGACGCGGTTCTTGTTTTTTTTCTTTTCCTTTAACGCGAACCATGTATTAAAAAATGGACATTTGGAGCTTCTACGAGTACGACGTTGCCAATCTGCCATCACGAGCTCGCCTACGGAAATAATTGATGGTTACTGAAAACATTAAGTTATTAAGCAATTACAAACACTGAGTTCTACATGAATTTTGAATATTAGCAACCTGAAGATTACCGAAGAAATAAATCCCCGATTTGCTTTTAACACGATCGTTGTTCCCGTCTGTTTCAGGAACGACACGAAAGAGGACGTGTTCGTGCACCAGGTAAGTGTCCGGCATTTAATTACGCTAATTAGCAGTACTTTGTAAGATAACTCGCTACATGTCGACGCTATGTGTAATTGCAGTCGGCGATTGTTAAAAACAATCCCAGAAAAGCCGTACGCAGCGTGGGAGACGGGGAGGTTGTTGAGTTCGACGTTGTTATCGGTGAGAAGGGTCACGAGGCCGCTAACGTAACCGGCCCAGCTGGTGAGGCGGTGAAAGGTTCACCCTATGCCGCGGACAAGCGTCGCGGATACCGCGGTATTCACTGGGTGTATCCGAGACGTGGCAACGGTCGACCGCAGAATCGTAGGTCGCGGGAGGGCCAGGAGGGCCAATACGACGCAGGTACGCCGGTCTGCCATTCGTTTGAGTCGCGATTCGTGTTTGTGTTTCTACATTGAAGAAGTACATTTGTCCGCTTGACGGATTACAGGAGAGGGGAAAATCGGAGAGGACGCCAGTGCCGACGGGGGCGGGCAGCCCCAGCAGCAAAGACGGTACAGACTCCGCCGTCACTATGACGGATACTACCGCGGTGGGCGTCGGTCCGGGCCGAATCAAGGGCAACAGCAGGGGGATGCTGGCGAAGGTGGTGAACAAGGAGAAGGAACCGGTGGCGAGGGTGGCGCTCCGCCGCGCGGTGGCGGCCGCGGACGCGGTGGTCCATCACGACGTTACTTCCGCCGCAATTTCCGCGGGGGGAGAGGCGGTGGCCCGCCACGACGTCCTCGCAGTCAGGATGGCCAGGTAAGGGTTAGCATCTAACCCTAGCCGAGTTAGAGTATTATTAATTATTACAACGACTGGTAGACAGAGATGTCGATTTAAACGTGTTAATCGGCATGTTTCCCGAATCTCGCGCGTTGTTTCATCCAGAGTTCCGAGATTGTATTTATTCCTTTTATTTCCGTGAATTGTATCATATCGAGCAGACGCTCGAGACGCTCCTTGAGGCAACGGTTATAAAAAAGAAATTGTGTAATTTCCACAATTAAAAGATTTCAAAGTCGCTATTTCAATCTAATTGCTGCTTGTATCAAAATCGCAATATTAGTTTGAAATCGAAATAATTTGACATCGGTTAATTTCAAATTATTCGAGAAAAATGTTTCGGTTGTGGAAATGTCATGCTTTTGTATAAAAAATTTTTTTATATGATTTTCCTTCGTCGGTTGAGTCGTTTCGAGATACGCGACCTTGGAACTGTAGGTGAAATGCCCTGTACTTTTTATCTGCAATCGGTTTAAAACAATTGTGTTCTGCTGTACATTAATTTCTATTACGTCAAACACGGTTCACCACAAAATTCACCTCGGTTGCTTGCACCTAAATGGGGTACATCCCTTTGTTACTTCTTTCTGACAACAGTACTGCATTATTCCATAGTAATCGACGGACTTTGCACATTGTAAACGTTCATTTATTTCAATTTTGCATTCTCGCAGATGATAAATCGTGTTTCTCAAGTCTGAAATAGCTGTTTAAATCTGCACGGTAGTTATTATAATCAAAAGAAAACTGAAACTCAGTAGTATTAGGCTTACAAGAGAATTGTCTTAGATGCCTTCCCCTAGAAATTATACTCGTATATTTACAGCAAGATTCTATCATTCCCTCTTATACTAATGCATCATCCGCGCACGGAGTATGTGTTCTGTGCTGTTTGTGAATAACTTTTTTTTTATCACACTTTGTAAAACAATAAAAATATTTTTGTACGAGCATCCGAACGAATTCTCTACAATCGGCCAAGGCCGCACCCGCATATCGAAAATTGGGTGTATTGCGAAATTAGGTGACCGACGACGACGCCGTTGGCGAGAGCGCACAGCTCGGTAATTCGCGGAGAAATCCACGACCGCGTTACAGACGACGATCGGTGAGACAGCCTCGTGCGACTTCGAGCCAACAGACGAACGCGGTAGAGAACATGCCATCTGCGGACACGAAACGCAAATCCCCCAATCCCGCTTCCTCCCCCGTCGCCTCTCTTCGAGCACGAGTCACCGATATCCCTCCCGAGTCCTGCGACAAGTCCACCAAGGTATTGTTGCTTCCATCCTTTCTTACTCGGAGCGGTTACCACACGCAGACGTCAGATGACACGTGTTATCTTAAGATATCCTTTACTGACGGCAATTAACGCGGACGCTCTTACCAATCTGGCTCGTGAATATGCCTTTTCGTGCGAGTGTACCGGCTTAACGAGAACCAAATGAAAATTTACGTCGTCGCGATACAACGCGAATCGCCAGTTTCGCTTTGCACTACGTCTTCGTCAACTGATTGCACACGTTAACATTAATTTTACTTTCTCGTGCATTTTAAACGCGAGTTGTAATCAGAGGTGAACACACGAGCCTCTCGGAAGCCAAGCTGATCTCGATCCCGCTTGCCACACTCTTTGTTAATCTCAGCATCAAAATATACAACTGATTTACAGCTTCGATTTACTTTACAATTCATTTCGCGGAGTTGACCAGCTTTCGGTTTCCGGGTGGCTCGTACGTAACTCCGACGTTAATGGAGTCTCGTGAAGCAGTATAGACGTGGGATTTTGCAATTTGATACGAGCGAGAGAGAAAGCTTTCGATTAGGCGACTGCGAATGCGCGATCCGTCGAACAAATACAGAGCGGTAGCGCTTTAGCACACACTGTTTGCACGTGTCTCTTTGTACTCTTTTCAGTCGGAGCAGAAGTCTGATGCACCTAAAGATTCGGATGCACCTGCCGCTGCCCCTGCTCCACAGGTAAAGTCGCTTTGTTTTTTTTCCCCCCTCCCCCTTCTTTCTGATCTCGCAGAAGCCCGTCTCGGTTGCCGCAGTTTTCACTCACTTACACTTCCGGCATTAGGTGCGCTCGACGAGGCCAGATCTTCCGATTTATTTTCTTGCTGTCTGTTACTCTTTCGTTCTCGTTTTCTAGAAGGAATTGCATTTCTCTACGCATAGCTCTTACACACACACACACACACACGCACACACACCACACACACACACACACACGTGTAGACGATTATAGTAAAGATATCTTCAAACTACGCGTCGCATAACTGCTATACTCTCGCGTTATCGTCCTCGCGGTACTCACGCAGCGAATAATGTTCGTCAATTGTGTATGTTCGCAGGAGAGCCAGCCGGTGCAGAACACCACCACCGAAAGCACCGCCTAACTGTGAATTTAACGCGCTATTACCGCAGGACATCCTTTCTAACTACATATAACACCAACACCCGTTATACACCGCAGCATCAAGAACTATAAAACAATTTCAACAAAAAAAAATCTTAAAAAAGAAAAATATTATAACAAAAAAAGCAACAAACACTACAACACCTCTCTCCACGGCCACCATTTAAAATATGAGTGAAAAGTGAGGGGTGTACAGCCGCGCCTAATGTGCCCCTTTTCAGCGAGATAACGGTAGCTTCTTCATCTTGAGAATCTAGGCTAGGGCAATCTAGTATCTAGACTCTTTAACTTTTAGCCGTTTCGCTGAGAGAACTCATTAGGAATGGCCGCGTGCTTCTCGTTTCGGGAATTTTTGGACAGAAGGGTAAAGCAATCACGGGGTACGGAGCGACGAATTCGAGCGCGGCAAGAGATAGACCTATATATATACACACATATATATATACCTTTTTGTTTTTGTTTTTTGTGTATTTCTTGTTTCGTATATTACTTCTGATTTTTCTCCGGCAGGGCGTATTATAAATCGTTTCACATACATACGCGATATTTGAGTTTATTGCTACATTTCCGCGAGCTTTCTTCACTTTCGGCGACTTTTCCATCAAAAGGAGTAGTGAAAACCGATACGTGGATACTGCTGGTAAACGAGAATCCCGCCTGAACATTTGCCCGTTGTCTCGAAGTCGGTCGTTTCTCTTCGGCTTATATTTCGAAATTGATGAGCTTACCGTATTGCTTTACTTTCACTCATTCAGTATAAGAGTTGGCGGCACCGTCACCACATCGTTGTCCTCGAGTATTTTCAAGTCGCACTGCCAATTGCAGGGTGACCGCATTGTTCGGTAGGCGTCGAATTGAGCGCGCAGTACTTGGTACTCGAGGACGACTATGCGGCCCGTGGTTCCAATTTTCTTATTCATTACTCTATCCGCTCTATCCGATAAAACATTATTGTAATAGCATTTATCATGGTCGTATTTTTACAATTGTTAATATCGGCCCCTGGTGGGTCACCAGCGGTATACTATTAATTAGCGATTATTATTTCGACTCTAAGCATTAGCCAGAAAATTGGGCGCGAAAACTCGCGAGGTGTCACACGCAGCGAGTTTTCCTCGCGAGCAGCGCGCGAAGAATGTCACATACGTGAAATGTGGTTCCGTTCTTTTTTTCGACAAAGTAACTGTGTACACTTGTATTCTTCTCTGCGTTTGTGCGTGTTATTGGGCCAAAAGGCACTTGTGTCCAGTCGCGAGCGGGACGGCTCCTCATTGTGATACCTCATAGACTTAAGCGCGTGTATAAATCGTCCGGTCGTTTCTGGAATTGACGTCGGTCGCACGTGCACCGGGCAAGTCGTTTTTTTTTTAAACATTAAATCGCTGACCGCTTGCATGCGGTAATCGACTCGATTTAACTTTACGGAAGCCGGGCGTATCACGTACCATCGGCTCGACCGACAATACGAATATCGTAGACTGTCAAGAGTACGAGGGACAGCGCGAACAAACGTAAAAACAATATCTTTTCATGCATGTAAACAATTTTTAAAATTTTAGTTTGTAGTATCGTCAACAGACGGACATATAAAATAAATATACCTTCTAATTTGAGTAAAAAAAAAATGAAAAAGAAAAATTGGAGCATTTCTATATTTGGCAAAATTTCATTGGCATCTGATCTCCGTCTATATCCAGGCGACACAAAGTTCATTAACGGCACCGCGAGGGTCCACTAGAGTGACAAATCCTAAATCACGTCCTCGTGTCGTTTGGATGTAGCGTCACCGATGTTACACGGTGTTTATTGTTTCCGTCGTCGTGTAGTAGTTTTGTACTCGTCGACCGGTGATGCGCAAAGTGTATTCGCGAGTGCGGGACGATTTTCGGATGACGCCGCGCGCGGCAAGACGCGCCCGGCGTGCGCGAGATACGAGCGGGAACGCATTTTTTTTTCCTTTCGAGAGAGAGAGAGAGAGACGCACGGGCGTCTCGTGAATTTTATGCGCGCGACAGTTCGCGCGTCGACGGATATAACATGCATAATCGCGAATACAATTTGTCCCACTCGCCACCGCCTATACGCGGTGGGCGCGCCGGCAGGAGGATTCCGCCCAGAGACGTCGCCGTATATTATCACCATGATCGTCTTTAATTGTGTCTCACTGTCCTTACCACGTCCCGTTTGTCAAGTAGCGTTTGCCGCGCCACCAAAACCCGAGTGTGTTGAGTCTTCGTAAAATTGCATAATATCTTTTGTTTTGTGTAAGCGAAAATCTGGGAGATCGGGAGGTTCCGTCTACCTCGTCGGAGGTGCGAAACGCCCGATCGGTCAGGGTTAGCGGTTTAAGGGAATAATAAGAGAAGAAAAAAAAAGAGGGAAGAGAGCGGGAGAGAAAGAGAGAGAGAGAGTGCGTGCGTGAGTGTGGTGCCAAGTGGAGAGAGATAAACACGCGGTTACGTTACGGCGGACGCGCGTTCGTGATATTTGTATGTGCTAGCACTTTACGACCGAATAGCGGAGCTGAAAGTGAAATAAGCGAGGCGATCGTAAGCGCCGATCCCATTCCGAAGTCGCCGTAATGTTCCTTTTTTTTTTCGGTCTTCATTCGACTCTGCGAAAGAAAACCCAGCGGACGCGAGAGATGCTTATCGATCGACGCGTCACCCCCCGCGTTTTCCGCTTTTCTATTACACCGCAATCCGCGTCCGCTGGGACAAAAGCCCGTGGCGACTCTTCGGGCCGCGTTGTTTAACGTAATCACCCTCCGTTGTCTAACGTAACCGCGCGTTCCCACGAAAAAAAAAAACACGGTAGAAAGAAATATACAAAAAAAAAACGCAAAAAGAAATCCAAGCGAGAGACGGCCTCTCGAGACAGCGGAAGGGAGAGAGGCGCGGAACAAGCAAAAATTTTCAAGCGGCACGGCCGAGCGTGGGCGTGCGGTTGTAACTGCAAAAAAAGAACAATGCATGTGTTAACAGTGAATATCAGAGTTAAAACGAAAACCAAAAGCCGTGAGGACTAAAACCCGAAGGAAAACGAATCACGAGCGAATCCAGCAGCTAAACTTCACACACGCGGTTAAATAAAAAAGAAAAGAAAGAAAGCACACACACACACAAAGGAGGAAGAAGGAGAGGAAAAAAAAAGAACACCCGGGGTGCAGTAACCGAGAAAATCAGTTTGTGTACTTCGCCGTTCGGATTTATCGCCGTTGTCGGGACGTCTCGACGCGGCCGTCAGTCAATCGCGATCGCGTACATGTTCGTTGCGAAAAAGTTGAGAGACGGCTTACGATCGGGCGACGCGGAAAGTTTCGCGGGGAGGAGAGTTCGATCCGCGGGGGCGCGCGCGCGGTCCATTAGCCGCCGAGCGCTCGGCGGGGCGGGCGGGCGGGCGGAGATTTTCCCCGGCGAAGCCGGGGGTGCTTCGTATGTTAAACACGGCTTCCCGGCCGGGAAGCGCGGCGAGTCCGCGTCCCGCTCGAGATTCCCGCGCGACGTACGAGGCGTCTCCGATCGCGATGCGCCCGAGGATCCCGCGGTCCTCCGCGTTTGCAAGATTTCGCGATTTGTCATCGGCGCCTCCCCGGTTCTCGTCGCCGTCGGGCGGGTCGGGCGGAAAGCTCGCCCCGCCGCCGGTGAGAGGATCCCCCCACGGGAAGGAAGGCGGAGCCCGCGGTTCGGTCGCTCGAAATTCGCGTCGTGTCCACCCGGGCAAAAACACTCGCAATAAAAAGGGGACTATCACGTCGCGACAGTCAATTAGATCCGATTCGAGTTTCGCGCGAATAAAGGCGATACTCGAGTTAGATATATATACCGCGGGAAAGAGAGAGAGAATGAGACGGCGACGTGGACGAGAAGCGAAAGAGAAGAGAAAAAGAAGCGAAATCCCGATCGAGGAGACGTTCAACTCTTTCGAGAGATAAAGAAAAAAAAAGAATAAATAAGAGAAAATCCATCAAAAGACCTCGACGGACGCCGGGCGCGACGCCGTCGTCGTCGTCCGAGCGTGTCCCCGAGATGCAGTCGTCCGTCGACTGACTCCCCCCCCCCCCACCCTCCCCCCAATGAATTTTGTACCGAAACGTGAAACTCTAAATGCTAATTTCATACACGGAATTTAATTTTTTCACGAGAAACATGTGCATTATAAAAAATAAATCCACCAAAAAAATCGCAAAAGTTACAAATCGAACATGCGTTCTGCTTTCATTCGAGCGCCCCTCCCCGTCGCTGCGATCCCGACATCCCTCATTACCCTCGATTATCAATCGTGTAAACAACACGCTCGCCAAAGCGCGAGGACGCACCGGCCGGTGAGTCCCGCAATTTTATCGAGAAGGTAATTAACGGTGCGGGGGATGCGTGCCGGTAAAAATTTAATTTCAAGCTAAATTAAATAGCGGAAATATGCGTGCGTGTGCATCGATACGTTTTATTCGATTGTCCGTATCAATTTGTCCGCCGTGAAATTTTCCGAGATTTGCAGCGCGCACTTGAAAATAAAACGGCACGATCCGCGGCCGCGGAATTACAGGGAACGGAGCACTGCGAGTCCGCCATTGAATATGAATCAGATATTTAATCTTTAATTCCGCCGCGGAGGAATTTCTGAGGTAATGCAATTGACGAGTCCTCTCTCTTCCCCCTCCCACCCCGGCCGGAATTGTACGTACGCATTTCACATATGTGTAATTTCAACGCGGCGATGTTGATCGGGGGAGCCCGGGAGAAGTTATAGGTATAATGCATTCCCGTCATGGAGAATTTCCAATAATACCCGGTATTACGGCGGCACTTAATCACCTTTCGCAAGGTATATAAATTAATTTTCCGTCCCAGCGTTAATCTCATATAGCAACGATCAGCAGTAACCCGTACCCGACACCATAATTGACACAACGGATTCGGCTTCGACATTACAGATTCGTCATTATGAATTATAAATCGCCCGGTCCACGCGCGCGCGCTTTAACGATTACGTTAAATTCTGCATTTATCCGCGTCGCGAAATGCATTGTCCATGTAAATCTCCACGCATGCGGGGAAAAATTTTTTTTTTTAATTTTTGAGAAACGTGCTCTTTGAACCCTGAGACGGACGGCCTCCGCCTCGCAGCTCCGCCTGGAGAGTCCCTGGCGTCGATACGCGGGTCGAAGATTCGAGGACCGTTCGGCAGATCGCGGGACGATTCTGGAGGTTTGCACACTTTTTGCTAAATAACACCGTCGTGTCTTTCAGGTATAAAAATCTCCGGTCTACAAACGATGTCGTTTTTACGCGAAAGACACAGTGAGACCGATACGTCCATACAGCATGTCTAAAAGACGTCTTAGTCCCAGTCTACAATAGACGATTTAAGCCGTAAGCTTTAAGAAACTGATCAATCACAGTCAAATAGCGTTGGTCCGCAACCTTGCTTTAAGTAAGCTGTAAGAAATTAACCAATCACAGGCATTTATTCCCGTCGCTCTCACCTGTGGTCGAATTGGTGAGACGCCCGCCTAGATTGTAGGGAGGTCCAGCAGGTTCAGGTACAAACCCTGGCTGAGGTAATATTCTTCGCAATAAATGTTCTGTATTATTAAAAATGCCAGGTATGGTCAAGGAAACACTGACGATTTTAATTTTACTTTTGCCTTAGCCGGTCTTTCCGTGTACGATCCGTAAGGGCCATCGCACACAAAATTGCATAGCTGCATGTGCATAGCATGAAAACTGTTTAAACCAACGAACATTGAGCATTGAGTCGCCATACTGATTTACATGAAATGCTTATTGGTCTAGACTGTCTTGCGCTATGCATATGCAACTATGCAATTTTGTGTGCGGTGGCCCTTACGCAGTCGGTGATGAAGACGGAATGATAGACCGATCTGTAATGCGAATCCTAGAAAAACGATAGCATTAATTTGCCAGGCAACGCGCGCGTGTCCAAAAAGAACATTTTCAAAGGCATCTTTTTCTTAAAACATCTTAAAGACCTTTACCGATAGTTTTAGAAAGTCCTGTTTTCAAGACTTTCTGAAGCGACGCCTCAAAGTTACTCTTTATACTTTTCGGAGCGTGCACAACTGTTTACGTTATCCGCCGCATTTCATGTAACATTAATCGATGTTAATTGATTTTATTACATTTTTTGAAGATCACAAAATATCATACGTACATTATTCGCAACGCGCGCGCACTTGTCTAGTTATGTAAAGGTTAAAATATTAACAGGTTCTTACATTAAAACAATATCCATGTAACACTTTATATATGCGTACATATATGATCGTAGAAATTGGGGGGATTCGCTGGTGCACTTATCGTATCCGCGATACAGATATTGCGCAGTGCACTCTCGAAAATAACGACTCAACATGCCGTTGCGGAGCGGCCAGCGATTGTCACGAACGGAAGAAAAAGGTTAACGGGTTGTGTCGGATTTTGAGTCCCTTAATCCGGATATATATATAATATAATATATGTGATACGTGAGCGCGCAACCGCTATATACACCCCGACAGTCTGCACGCATTTTGTGCAGCGCGCGATGATAAATACACGGCCCATCGTGCAAGGGAGCGTCGTCTGCGAGAGAAAAACCATTTTGCTAAACCATTTTATTTTTAAAAGACAAAAAGGGACCAGCGGAAAGAAAATAGTAGAGATCGAAGAGAGAGAGAGAGAGAGAGAGAGAGAGAAAATACTTTAATTATTATAATTTGAAAAGAGTAGAATGGAGAACGAGTGCTCTACTTTATTATTTCGCTGTAAATAATTCTTGGCGTTCTCCGAGGATGGAGGGGGGAGGGAAGGGGAGGTCTATCGTAAATACTTCCTCGACGTGGTTGTTAAACGAGACGGAACCGGGATTTCTTAACGTTAAGATTGGCAGAATTCCATGCTTTTCGCGATCGGCAGAACGAGAGGTGGGTGCAAGAGCAAAAAGCCGTACGACTTATCAGAAACTCCACCCCCCCCCCCCCCCCGATCGTATGTTTTCACAGATAGGGATACGATACACCGTGCGAACGTGCGCGCGCACACACACGTACACACAGGTGTATACACAGCGGAGGCAATCAGGAGAGATCTCGGATGAACCAATTGATTGCCCGCGCTCTGTGTGCAGGCGAAATTAAAAAAGTTGGCTTCCAGGTCGACGCCTCGGTAAACGCCTCGGCCGCTAATTTCCCCGATACCGAACATCTACTCGCGCAGCCGTTTCACGCTCGCAATATCAATTATCGCTATCTGCCGCCGTCCGTGCGCCGATAATCGTCGCGGGTACAAGGGACCGCGGGGGAGCGGCGCGGTGCGTATGTATGGGGCGGGGTAATAACGCGTGCAAATTGTACGACGTTATGCGGGCGACGTGACAACGTTCGCGCGCCGGACGGAATCCTTTTCATTCTACATCCTCCTCCCGCGGCAGCTTTTTATTACATTGCCCGGGCGATTTTATAAAGGCGATAAAGATAACGTTCCTCTCCCGCGCAGACTTCGATCCGGATCGCAGTAATCTGAGAAAGGACCGTGCCGCGGAAAAATCTCGAGCCGTGCGGCACGGCGGCTTTCAGCCATTTAAAGCGAAGGGTGGATTATTAATAAATTTTTACGAAAGTAAACGGAATATCGTGCTCGAATCTTGTTTGTTAAGGTAAGGCGGGGAGGGGGGGGCGTTTCACTCAATTAGGGAAAATTTTTCGAAAGAGGAACTTTTCAATTTACTCTCTTAATTTTTTTTTCGAGTGGAATCTCACTCCTTTGGAGCGTCGAAGGAAGGGTTCGGCAATTGATTGGGCTCTCGAAAACGTTAACAAACAATACATTTTCGTCGAGAACGCGAATGTTGGCCGGGGTGTACATACGTTTCGGCGTATCGCAGAGTGCGCCGGGATCAAATTGCGTCCGGCCAGCGTCCTACGATCAAACGCGATCCTCTTTTATTCGAAGGGCATCTTCGAACCGCCGCGGTCGCCCGCGTGGTTACAGCTTCCGTTCGAGTCAGCTTCCTTCTCCGCTCTTCAAAGCACCGCCGGTCGCCAAGTATTCCCGTAGTCAGCCAGACAGGAGCTTAAAGCAATTTCGGCCAGGTGTGTGTCCCGATGCGGCGGACAGGCGACTTGGTGAAATCTCTTCAGGGCGTCGCAGAGTGTCCCGATCGCCTCGCCGACCCTCTCGTCGTCCATCTCGGCCAATCCGCGGTCGTAGAGAGCCTCGCACTCCCGTAGGCACGCGAGCCGATCCTCCAAGCAGATTTTCTTTTGACAGCCCGGGCATTTTATCAGCTTACCCTGCCGGGCTGGCGAATGCACTCCGCTGCATCCTGCCGTAGGACACCTTCGGGGTGGGGCAAACGTCAAAAGGATACCTCGCGGATTCTCTCTCGTAGCGAACATTTTATTACGGTGTCGTCGGCAAATATTAATCAGATTGTTATCGAAATCAAAATCGAGCTGGAATTTTATGTCGGGAGGCTCGACTTATCCCTGGTAGCAAGCTCGCGTTATTTTCCCTCGCCATTTCCTCGCCACTTCGACGTCGAAATAACGATAAGCGATGCCAGCTTGCTACCTGGAATCTTTCGTTTCGTGCACGGAAAAGAAATGCCGTTGAATTAAAAAGCATAAAGTTGCCTGAGTTAAACGTTAACGTCTCACGGGCTGCCGCAAACATAAATAATTCGTTCAATTGTGTTTGCCGTGGATTTTCATTTTAAGCATTCAACTATATATCCAGATTATTAAGACATCTTTCTAATGCTTCTCATTCGTTAATACTGATGCTGTTTCAACGATTTTATTTCAATTGCGCTGATCTTGTTGGTACATCATTTTTTTTCCGCGTAATTAATTTCTGCAAGATTATTCCTCTATCTATAAAGATATAATTTTTTAAGACGCTAAGGAAAATGCAACGTAAATAAAAATAATTTTTCTTCTTATCTTTGCCTTGCAGAAGAATTTTAAAGCCACGCTGTTTTTAACGACAATTTGGAATCGTTTTTTTCCTCTCTTCAGTGCGAAAGTATCAAAGATTGTCTTCTGTCGCACAGTTCCCTACTTTTTTGTGTCACATTCGTGTATGTTCGTAACGAAAATAAAAATGCTGAAACGTATACCGTTTGTGACCGTCTGAGAAACGTGGCTTTGTCATCCATTCGGCGCGCTAATATTCCACGCGAATGTAATTAAGGATACAGCATATCAGAGAAAAAAAATTGCGAAACATAAAGATGCTTTAGCGGGTATTAAATCCCCACCCAAAGAGTGAGCCGCTGAGACGTCAACGGGGACGCGCACTTAAAAGAATTACATTTGCGTTAGCGCGACGATGAAATAATTACTCGTAATTGAACTTTTGTCTGACGCTCTCAGAAAGGAACCCCCGTGGTTTATTTCTCTAAGAGAAACACCGGGAGCCCGCGCTCCGTTGTTGACGTAAAAGACGCAACGTAACGAGTAGTGGTGCTGCTACCCAGAAAATTACCGCGAAACTGATAAAAGCACCTGGCCGTGTCGTTGGAGTTGGTATAAGAATCTTACGACGACGAACAGAAGTACCTTTGACGACAGGAGCTTCTTCCCTTTGAAGGAACTCGCCTCATCAGGACTTGCGGTTTTTAACGATCTCGAAAAACATCTGCTAACTCTCTCCCACTCACCCGCGCTCACTCAGTCATTTACTCGCCTCATACTCACTCTTCTTTTTTTCCCCTCTTTCGCTTGCTTGTTATTCCTCCCGCGTGATATTCTCGGTGCTTCTGCTCGTTACCTTGGCTTACCAACGTCTGCCGATTCTTTTCGACGCATTTAAGCCGGGGATTTTCGGTTAAACCATGCGAGAGAAAGAATTAAGCGTCTTAATTAAAACGCGCGGCGCGCGACACGAGGCGCGTACGTTTCCGCAGACGTTGGTCGTTAATGGGTAACTTTTTTTTGCATTACTTCCGATAGATATTACTTCGCTGATCCGCCGACATGGAGGGAAAACTTAAGCGAAGCGCCGATACGATCGTTCGTTTAATTAAATTAAATTACTCCGTTAATGAGCTTGATCTCGGGGAATTTAAATGGACTTACCTCAACCTGACGGAATCGTTCGTCAGATTCTCAAAGCGCGGCCAATCCTCCCGGCAGGCTTTGCACGTGCACCGGAACCAGTACCTTCCCGCCAGTGTCCTTTGACGCTCGGCGAGGGTCCTCTTCGTAAATATCGGCCCGTAGTTTTCGGCAATAACGTCGCCGGGCCGCAGACCGCGGACCGCTCTTATTACGATATGCCGGCCGACAAAGTATCTGCAATCCGAGACAAAAGGAGGATTCTAAGGCCCGGTCTATGTAAGTCTATATATTCTTGCGTTTAGGCTGAAGTGTCCCTCCGTCTTACAACGCACGAAGTTTTGGCACCGCGATATTCGACAAAAGACGATTCTAGATGCGAGAATTTTTCATTTCAGATTAAACTACTCCTTTCTCTATAATAAACACGATTGGCGCTATATCGATCCTATTTTATGATACATTTAACGAGTTGTGTGCCGTGAGTAAGAAGTCAGTACTACATGTCGGTCCTTTTTCTTCCACCCAGAAAGGAAAAGGATCAACATACAGTTCCGACTTTTGACTAACGACTAACAACTCATTGCCGACCAGGCCTAATACCGTCCCCGTTAACGTCGTAATGGAAATTAACGCGTCCGCTTTCGGGGACGCAAGTCGTCCGCCTCGATACACGGCGGGTACATCAGCTAATTATAGCTGAAAGAAATTTTCATTCCGGACGGCAGCGACAAATTAAAAGTATCAAATTCGGAGAGTAAATTAAATTGCATCTTCCGAGGGACGTCAAACATTTACAGGGAAAATTGTACAAAGTCTACACACGTTCCCTGGCAGTAAACGTTCAATACTTTTCGTTTGTACACCTAATTATATTTTTCTACATTTATGAATACCACCGGCGCAGGCCCCACTTTCATTATTTAGGTAGTTTATCACAATCAAGCGGACGGTGGCGAGCTCGCGCACATATTGCGTTAAAAGTCGTTAACCGGTCCCCATCCGAAACGGAAGTTATTATCAAGTATACGAGTTAATAAATCGAAAAACGGGGCGGGCGACGCAATCACTTTGCAATGAAATAATAATCGTAATCATCACAATAGCCCCGGCGACGTTAATAACGCGAACAGTAACAATTTCCGCTCGTGCACCGAGCAGTGCAGACGAGTTTGTGACATTACGGAATAATGAGCGCGCTGGTGTAATTTCGCGTATAATGGCCGCGACCCACGAAGTCATCACAGAGGCGCTTTAGTGCTACCCGAAAATCCACGTACTTAATTAGCGTTAATAGATTCGCGGTGGAAGCATTGATATATTCCCCCAGGAGGAGAACTTAATTCCCGGATTGCGTCGTTTCAGCTTTCACATTCTTTTCCCCCCCTTACGTTAAATAAATTACTCTTATCCTTCGATTTACGCGGTGTTCTTTATACGCGCTTCTTTGTTCCTTCACGCGGTAAAAATCCCTCCGTTTTCGCGCGAGACGAAACTCAAAATCGAATAGAAACAAATATGAGAAGCTACACCCTCAGAAAGGATTTCTGTTACCGAGACAAAAAATATTCTTGACGCATTTATATTTCTCACAACCCCCATTTAGTGTAAAAATAAGACGATATCAAAATAAAATCAATAATTCTTATTCCCCTCTATCGAATTGAAAAAGATTGACTTACAGTATATTGAGACAGGAGTAACTTATATAAATGTAAGTTTATATATTTTCGCGTTTAGAATAAAGTGTCCCTCCATCTTACAACGCACGAAGTTGGCACCGCGATATTCGGCAAAAGACGATTTTAGATTTTAGAATTTTTCATTTAAGATAAAAATATTCCTTTCTCTATAACAAATATGATTGGCGCTATATCGATCCTGTTTTATGATACATTCAAGTGTAATAGCCTTGGACCCGGGAGTTTTTTCTGTGGATGTAATCTTGCTGGTGCATATACATATTGTAGTTTTTCTCTTATGTACACGGACAGAATTTTCTCTTAAAATTTATCTTGAAAATTATGTAATCGCGGGACAATATGGCATTTCAAAAAAAACTCTCACAAAGTTCTTCAAAATGTTGTCCCACGGCTACGCGATTTTTCAGGGTAAATTTTAAAAGAAAATTCTCTCCGTGTATTCTTTGTCCTACTGCGCGTGAAAAAGCCACGTGGAACGAATCCGCGGGGCAAGTCGAGAGACGAGTGTATTTCGAAACGAACAGTCGTCTTCCTTGAGCATCGGTAAAATTGCTTACTTAAAAGAAACGGACTCGCGAGGATTATTTCGTTTTCTCATCAATTTCGTCGGTTTTCCGTAAAGAGCTCGCAGATTCATGTACTTAAATTCGGTGAGAGCGAGAGAATTTGTTTTGGCGGAAAGACAAAGGAGAGTTTTCCGGCGACGAAACGCGGGAAGTTGTTGAAGGGCCCCGGGGAAACTTCGCTTAACAGACTGCGGGCGGTCGCGGGTCGATTAATAATTCGCGCGCGATGACACAGGCGATTGTGTACCGTCTAGTTATACTAATTAGCTCTCTCACGCCGGTCTACGTCGCGGGTCTGTTCTTTAAAGCGGCCACGTTATTAATATGCAAATCAGCGCGAGTCATCGTCTCGCCGGGTTCGACGAGACGGGTGTCTAATGCGTAGAAGCACCCGGTCTTATGCATCTTAAAGGAACGGTTTTTTCCTCGGGAGGACGTCACGTCTCTGGTCGCGAGAAGAGCGACGACGAATCGATCGCGTCAAGTTTCTCCTCTGTTCGCGAGGAGTTTTCTTTTTTTTTCTGGAAACGCACCCTCCCGAAAAATATCTTTATCCTCTCCCTTGCTCACCTCGTCACCGCGGGATAGCAGTCGTGATTGAAACGGGCGACTGTGGGATAAATCGCCACGCCGAGGTAGACCGGTCGGCTGCCGCGAAATCGATGCTCCGCGCTCGCTCGCGTCTCGAAGAACTCATGGGCGTTGAATTGGAGCAGCTGCAGGTTCCTTAGCAGCAGGGCGGCCACGGTGATCTCCTCGGCGCCCGGGACTTCTGCGAACTCGCCAAAGTTTCCGATATTAGTGTAGCTCCCCCGCGTTCTGTGCATTCCTCTATTCTCTCATCCTCCCCCTGTTCTTAGCTTCCCGGCAAAAACTTTCCGCGACTCTTTCCGCTGAACGCTGTTAAAATTACGGTTTTACGGCGCGAGCGGATGGACGCCGCGCCACCGCCGCGCGGAGAGAATCTGCTGAATCGAAAGTTCGCCCTCCGCGCGAGCAAGCACATTTTTCTCCCCACCTCTCTCTCACCCTCCCTCTCCCCCTCGACTACTCCCGATTCGGTAAATTATCCTGAAAGTTAAATACAGCCCCCGCGAGAAAGAGCGTACGTTACGGGTGTAAAGTGGCTGACGATAAGTACCGTCGTCCGGCGTGGGGCACGCGAAGAAGCCGACTCTCTGCAGGCACTTGAGCAGGAAGGCCGCCATCAGCGATCTCTCCAGGAAGTCTCTGCTCGCCCGTCTGTCCGCGTGCGTCACCAAGTTGTACGCGGCCACGCTCTTGTCGTCGCTCTCGCGAGGCTCCTTTGTGACCTTCTCCTCCATCATCTCGGTAATTTCCTCGCCTCGTCTCGATTCCTTGAGTTTCCTCCGCCTGACTCTCCTTTTCGCCGACCTGCTGCTCGCCGGTGATTTCATGCCGTGCGTATTCAGCGCCTCCGTCGCCGGCGTCGTCGGCGTCGTGGCGGATGTGACCGCCGCAGGCGCCGCGGCCTTTTCCACGACGCTCTTCTTTAACTCCTCGTAGATCTTCAAACACTTTTGCGGGCCCTCCTGCGTCACCATCCGAAGGGCGACCATGCTGAGCACGCTCATGCCGGAGCCTAAGGGAAGGAATTTAAGAGCGGCTTGTAATTACCCTGTGAGGGTCTTGGCCCGTAGGGCGCTCGAGATAATGCCAGGTCGCGCGCGTGTAAAGTGCGGCTTTTACCTGGCGAGAAAAATACCTCGGTGTGAATACGGTCAAGTTTATTATTTCGCTAATTATCGCCTCGCGGGTCTATTAAGTCTGCATCAAGCGTGCGTTCGGCACGCACAACGGTACTCTTCGCAACAGACTTGAATGGCGTTTCGTTAGGACGAGCGACGTAATATCGATTGTAATATTCTAATATTAATATTCGTAATATTCTACTTTTCTGTATATACAGGGTAAGTCTTTCCATATCCGACAAAATTTTTGAGAAGGTAGAACGGATCGAGATGAACGGAAAAGTCCTGTACCATTTTGCAATTTTCGTAATAGTTAACGAGTAATTAATTATTAAAAATCGTCTTAGGCCGGCCTACCGCCCAATTCGAGCGCGTGGCAAGATGTGACCGCCTGGCGATCGATATTGCTATGCGCATATCTCGCCACGCGCTCGAATTGGGCAGTAGGCCGGCCTAAGACAACGATTTTTAATAATTAATTACTCGTTAACTATTACGAAAATTGCAAAATGGTACAGGACTTTTCCATTC